GCAATACAGTGGAAAGTACATTGAATTTGCAATAAAGAGATTTGGGTGTGAAACCTTACTCAACTAATCACGTACCCCAGTGTTCTTGGGCATTGGTAAAGATTTGCTTTCCTGTAAAATGGGGTGGTCCCTTCCAGCTCTAAATCTTAGGATTTTTTGTTTCTTCCCAAGCAGCAAAACCCAGCTTTCTCCTTTATTTATAGCAAAGAAGTGGTGCCTTCAGTGGTAAAGGCAGGGCTATAGATTCTTGCTCCTTCCACAAAGCCCCTCTAGCCTTCTGCCTTAGGAGTATGGCAGCAAATGCTGCCAATTCTTTCTTTCCAGAAAGAAAGCTGGAATTTGGGACCTGAGGGGGATGCTAAGGAGTCAGGAGTTCCCACCAGCCCTTCCTGCCTGCTCCCAAAGCCCCAGTGTTGTGCTGCTACTCCCCAAAGGAAATGATAGAACGATAAAAGAGGTCAGTTCTCAGAGCATCCTTGGTTAGCTTTGGTTTGAAAGAGCAACTGTTTGCACCTTTACAGGAACAGTCATAGAAACTTATGATAATGATAAGAATAATAGCTTGTATTTACGTAACACTAATAATAGCTGACATTTCTATATATTGGGTTTTTTGTTGTTTTTTGCTTTTTGGTGAGGCAATCAGGATTAAGTGACTTGCCCAGGGTCACACAGATAGTAAGTGTCAAGTGTTATATATTGTTTTAATTACTATTCCAATGTGCTTTACATACATTCATTCATTTGATCCTCATAACAACACTGTGAAATAGGTGCTATTATCATTCCCATTTTACAGATAAGGAAATTGTCACACATAAAAGTTAAGTGACCTGTGCCAAGGATCACACATCTAGTGTCTGAAGTAGGATTCAAACTCTTCTGGTCTTCTTGACTCTCAAGTTCTGCATTCTATTCACTGTGCAGCCTGGTGCCTCTAAATGTGTTCTCATTTGGTCCTCCTAGCAACTTTGCAAGATTGTCCCCATTGGACAGATTGGGAAACTGGGGCTGACGGAGATTCAAGTGGCTTGCTAAGGGTCAACACAGGTAGTGTCTGAGTGACAATTCATGACTCTTAAAGTCAAGTACCCAAACTGTTACAGAATCAAAGGATTGTCCAAGGATACAGCTGAAAAAAGGACCTAGGCAAGGGTGGGGAAATTGTGGCTTTGAGGCCACATGGTCTTCTAGGTCCTCAGGTGCTGCCTTTTTGATTGAGTCCAACTTTTACAGAACAAATCCTTTTATTAAGGAACTTGAGGACCTAGAGAGCCACATGTGGGCTCAAGCCACAGGTTACCCACTTCGTCAGGTAATCTAGTCCCACTTCCTCTTTTCATGGAAGAGGAAGCAGACCCAGAAGCAGGAAGGGACCGGCTTGAGATCAAACAGCCAGTTAGTGGCAGAACCAGAATTAGAACCCAGGGTGCCTGACTTCTAGTCAGTGTGTATGTGTGTGTGTGTGTGTGTGTGTGTGTGTGTGTATGTGACAGAGAGAGACGTACAGACAGACAAACAGACAATGGGGGAGGGTGTCTTCCTACTTTACCAAACTTCTTGATTGCTACAGGTTTATCCTTGGATCAGAGGGGAGAGAGGTGGAGATGCTGGCTCAGAACCAACAACAACCTCATCACCCCCTTCCCCAAAAAACAGTCGCTCCTACCAGCAGGCCCTCACTTCCTGGGGCATTCTTATATATTTCCTTTTCCATCTATTAATAGCCCCAGAGTCACTCTTTGTATAGGAGGAAAGCATTCAGACCTGAAGTGGGAGGAAGCCGGTGCTCCCCTAAGGGTGGAGAGCTGGGTAGGACCCAAGGATGAGAGCTGACTAGGCTGAGCTTCTCTCCCCAACTCTATTCCTACCCCCATGACAGGTGGAGCTCCCAGAAGAGATGGGAAGGTTTTCCCTGGAAGGGAACAAACATGCATAGTAAAGCAAAACATTTCCACTTTGGCCATATCCAAAAATGATTTACTAACCTTGTTAAGACAAATGAATTTTAAAAAAAATTTATTAAACACTTACTATGGGCCAAACCCTGTGCTAAGCATTAAGGACAAAAAAGATAGTCTCTACTCTAAAGATCACATTCTAATTGATTGTAATTGGAAGAAATAGTTGGCCCAGTGGATAGAGCACCAGGCTTAGTCGGGAAAACTCGAGTTCAAATCCGGTTTTAGACACTTACTAGCTGTAACCCTGAGCAAGTCACTTAACCCCAATTTGACTCAGAGTCTTTATTGGTAAAAAGGGGATAATGATAGCACTTACCTCCCAAAGTTGTTAATAAGGATCAAATGAGATAACTGAAAAGTGCTTAGCACAGTGCCTGACACATAGTAGGTGCTATATAAATGTTGTTGTTAGTATTACTATTTTTATAAGACACCTTGAAAGGCAAGATGGCTTTAAAAGTTTTTTTTTTTTAACCTTCATTACTTGGCCCCAACCTATCTTTCCAACCCTGTTCGACATTATTGTCCTTTCTACTCTTTGTGGTCAGCCAATCAGCAGGCCCTCATAAAGGTCCTACTATGTACCAGACAATATTGTGAGTAGCTAGTGATACAAAGATAAAAAAAGGGAAAGGGTCCCTGCTGTCATGAGGCTCACATGCTATCAATCTGTACATACTTCTAAGTAAGTGTCCAGTCACACTGTTCCACTACTGTTCATTAGGGACAGGATAGGAACTGGGGAACTCCATACATCGTGTCTGTCTTTGTATACCTTCCTGGCCTCTGTCATAGAATCCTGTTTCTTTTGAAACTCAACTCACGCTACCTTCTACAAGAAAGGACGTATCCATTTTTCTAGTACAGAGATACGTAACCTTGTGTCATGGACACTGGACCCCTTTGTCACTATGGTGGAAGCCTATGGACCCTTCCTGAGAATTTTTTAATACATAAAGTAAAATACATAGGATTACAAAGGGAATATTGAAATAAAGTTATTAAAATACAAAAAAACCCCAAACCCCAAATTCCTTGAGGACAAGGACTGCCTCTGTATTCCTAGCAAGGTGCCATCTTGGAATAAGTGGTAAGCCTTAGTGTTATGTCTTGAATAAGACACTAGAGTCAAATAAACCTGTTGAGTCCTTTGTCTACACAGTCCTACAGTCTATAGGAGAATGTCCTAGGCATAGGCTCTACCTTTTTCAATTTGGTTTTGAGCAAGCAGTTGATAACAAGCCCAGCAGCTATAGCCACTCAGGTCTAGGGGCAATGCCTTTGGTCCCTTCGTTGGGGGTGGAGGTGGTGTATCCTTAAACCTAGGGTTGGGCTGATATTGGCAGTTTTATGACCCCTGAGTATGAGTAAGAGCAATAGTCTGGGGAAGTTCCCAAAGGCCAAGTTCCCCAATAACTCAAGATTCCCTACAGCCCCAATAACATGATAGAGGGCTGGCCTGAAGAACAAGTGAATGAAACATCTGGCATTCAGAGAAAATATTTATTTTCTGGGATCACCTGGGGTAGGGTAGTTAGAAAATGATCTGATGCCCTTAGTGCCCTATGAGCTAGGGAACTTCTCAAGAGAGTTGTTGTGGTGGGAGATCACTTAGCATCCTCTCCTGAGGTAGCTAGGTAGTGTAGTCAATCCTCTAGTTCTCATCCAGTCTCAGAGACTTGCTATGTGGTTCTGGCCAAGTTTCTTGACCTGTAGCTTCATTTTCTTACCTAGGATTAGAAGTTGATACTTGACCTACCCCTTATCAGTCTCACAAAACTTGCCTGGTATGTTGTCCGTGGTCACAAAGGCAATGTATGGGAGAGTTGTTCATTCGTTTCAGTCACGTTTGACTCTTTGTGACCCCATTTGGGGTTTTCTTGACGAGGGTACTGGTGGTTTGGCCTTTCCTTCTCCAGCTCATTTTCCAGATGAGGAATCTGAGGCAAATTTGCTTAGGGTCACACAGCTACCAAGTACAGGAAAACGAGTCTTCCTGATACCTAGCCAGGCACTCTATCCACTACACCACCTAGCTGCCCAATATGGCACTCTATCCACTACACCACCTAGCTGCCCAATATGGCAGAAGACCTCAAACCTGGCCTTCCTGGCCATTAATTATCTGTAACATGGAGCTAATCATAGCACCCACCTCCTACCTCAAAGGGTTGCTGTGAAGACCAAATAAGATAATACATGTAAATCACTTTGCAAAACTTAGGGTGCTATCAAAATATTATCTATTAGCTAATATCCTGTCCTGCATGTCAGGGTAAGCAGAGGGGTATGATGGAAGGGAGAATTTACCACCAATCCCAAGTTTCTAAAGCTGGCCCATCATGAACTCTTCTACAAATTAGAGATTGATCCTTCAGGGTAAAATTTTAAGCCTTTGTAGGGAACCATCACCCTTCATCCACATCTTAAGTGGAGAAGATTTGTTCAGATATTTTGAGGCAGAGATGAAGGAGCTCTTGGTCCCAGGAGCAGGGGGAAAAATGACTGTTCAGTTTTACCTCAAGCCAACTGTGTTCCTTTCCTTCCTTAGAAGCAAGAGCCAGATGCACAGATTAGGGATCAGACATGACTTGTCTCATGGCTTTTTTCTGGCTTTTTCACATTCAGGGTGTGTGTATGAAAGAGAGGGAGGTTTGAATGGGAGTGAGGGAGAGGAAGAGAAGGGCAAGAGGTAGCAAACTACAGAAACTTGGAGGATAATTCATCAGCACTTTTAAAAAGTTTATTTATCTTAGTTTTTTTAACCTCTACATCATAGTTTTCCCTAGTATCCTTCACCCTCCCAGAGAGTTGTCTCATAAAATAAATAGTATTTTTAAGGATAAAAAAAGGAAAAACAATCAGCACAACAGATCAATGCTTTGAAAAGTTAAAAAACTTAATCACTTACTTGGTTCCTTTTTTATCTGTTGGGATAAATATATACACAGAACAAGGTAATATCTTCACACATGCAGCTTGTCATAAAAAGCTGTTTAGGCACTCACTTGTCTTTTCTGTTGGGATTACAAACAGGAAATGGGGCAACAACATCCAGGGAAGTAACAACTGCTCTCGCTACCACCATCACCAATGCTGGAGGTATCCAGGCTACACACACTTCAGGAACCGGCAAATCTCTGAACACAAAAACCATACAGCCAACTGACTCTTCAGGAATCAAGAAGTCAACTAGCCCTAACCCCACAATGACTTCTTCACTCCAACTTCAAGGTTCATCATTTCTCAAATCCTCATCCACTCCCAAATCAACCCAGGGAGGGGCCAGTACAGTAGGGACAACAGCACAGACCACTGTAGCCTCTACTACTGTAACACATGTAGTTACAACCGTAGAGACTACCAAGAAGACAACGATGGCACCCACTTCAGTACCTGGGGCTTTGGCAACCCCAAAGCCCACTTTGCCATCACAGGCAATAAACTCCTCACCTTTAACCTCAGGTAGGTAATTCTTATTTTTCATAGGGGGGAGAGGGTCCTTGGGAAGATCTGATTTTGGAAAAGTTAGTAAACTTACCTTCTACTTCTGCTTGGCCTAGGGGATGGGAGTTCCATAATAAAAAGTTAACAGTAAGAGAAAATGTGAGAACCTTGATTTAAACGCTCATTCCTGCTCTCGCCTTCTTGGTACGGTGGAGAATTAAACAAGACAAAACCATCCTTATCTGACTGTTGAAGATAGTCCCAGTGAACAAACTTGTGCCACACACACACACACACACACACACACACACACTCACTCACTCTCTCTTTCTCTCTCTCTCTCTCTCTCTCTCTCTCTCTCTCTCTCTCTCTCTCTGATAGCTCAGGGTTCCTTGTCTTCCCAGCTCGGGATTGGTTCTACTACTCCTACCAAGCAGTGCAGCCTGTAGCAATGCACCCCCTTGTCCCAACCCTCTCAGTTCCAAATAAAAAAAATTAATTAGTCCATGTCCTAGGTATTTTGTGGGAGATTTTCCATGATTTCTGCAAACCATAGCTTTTCCCCGCCCCCCTTCCTCTCTTGGAGGCAATCAGCGTTATATGACTACCCATAGTCACACAGCTAGTGAGTATCTGAGGCTGGATTTGAACTTGGGTCCTCCTGACTCCAGGGCTAGTGCTTGCTTTGTGCACTGTGCCACCTAGCTGCCCCAACCATAGCTCTTAACGAGCCCGTTAACATGTGACTGCCTTTACTAGTCATCTGTAGGACACAAATCTACTTCATAGCAAAGGCATTTAATAAAAATGTCTCTGTAAATCAAAGAACTGTAGAACATTTCCCTCCTTAAGCCTCAAACTTACTCTCCTATAAAGCCAACAATTAGAACCTAAACCTAAAAGCCTGTACTTGGCTGAAAGCTATAGCTGTTCTAATATATGTGATTATAAGGCTTGTGTGAGATAGGCCAGAGGTTTTTCCTCTGTCTCGCCCTTCTTGGGCTTTCACTTGGCCTGATGGATTCTAGGCTTCAACATCATAGCTTCTTCAGGGCTTGAAGCCCACGTTTTCATGTCTTGAGTTAGGAAGACTTGAGTTCAAATTTAACCTTAGCCTCTTACTAACTGTATGAACCTAGGCAAGTCTGTCTGCTCTAGTTCCCTTATCGTTAATGGGGATACTGATGGCAACTACCTCACAGGATTTTTGTGAAGATCAAACAGTACCCAGCACATGTGTGTTGGGTTTGACAGCTACAAAAGGAGACATAGGAGTGAGCCAGGATTTATTCCTTTAGGCTGTGGAAATAAAAGAAAGGGATGGTCTTTGCCCATTCTAGTACCTTTTTCCCCTCCTCTTAACACATTTGTTTCTTTTCTCTGCAGCTAAAATTAAGGACCAGGACAGTAACACCAGGAAGACCACATTGAGTTTCTTTACTACATCCTCCAACATCTCTGGGGGTTCAGCTCCTCTGACCAGTGTCATGACTTCCACCCTAGTGCCAGGAGCCTCTCCTTCTGTTACCTCACCAGCGACCACCAGCGTCACTTCCAGAACTAGGCCGGCTGTGGCCACCTCTGAGGCTCCAGTGTCCTCTGGGAATGCAACGTCAGATACCTCTGTGGGTACAGCTTCGGTTGCTTCTGGGGACACGGCTTCAGATACCTCTGGGGTGGTCCCCAGCAGGTCAACTGCAGTTGACTCTGAGAATTCTACCTCCTCACCCACTAGCCCCTATTCTTCCCATCACCAGCCCCCTGCCATGACAACCTCTGGATCAGAAATTTTTTCACCCATACCCAACAAGGTAACTACTGCAGCTGGCTTAAGGAATGTGAAGATTGGGGTGGGAAGAACAGGCTTGTATAGAGCTTAGGCAAAAGAGACCATGTATCCCCTTACATTCCTCCTTCCTAAGGAGCTGTCTTCACCCAAAATGCTAACAAATCATGTGAAGTTCCTTCTGACTTTGCTGGGGGTCTGCATCCCACACAAGAATCAGTCACTCAGAGCTCCAAACCTGAGTTGAGGCCATTTTTAGTGGTGCCTTTTCTCCTCTTCCTATGACTTAGGCCAGCCACTGGTGCCCATAGACCCCAGTATCATTTGGTGATCGAAGCTGAGAAGGTCATAGTGACCCTCTTTTCTCCCCACTTCCTTTACCCTACTAGTGACAGTAGGGGGTGTCTGAATTTCAGATGTCTTTGGGCCAAACTTGACTTTGACCCAGGACGAGACTGACTGAGCTTCCTCCCTCCAAGGGGCAGACATATAGCTGGGAGCAGTGACTGGCAGGGATAGAATTGCCAGATTTGGTGCTAAATTCATGACCCTGACTCCTTCCAGATAACCTGTCATGCTGACAGTCATACAACAGAGAATCTGCTTATTCTGAAGATGACCAACTTCACTATCTGTGTGAGTATTGCTCCCCTACCTGGCCACGCCAGTTTCATTGCTTTAAGTCTTAGAACCTTTTTTTTTAATCCCTTCACTTTCAACTTGATCCTTCTTATAGGGTGGGAGTCCAAATGGGATTGGGAAGAGCCAGCCACGTGAAAGCAGGTTAGAAAGATGTTGAGGATTAGTGTTCCCATCAGCCTTCAAGGAGAGATCCAAGATTTTGTTTTATTCCTTTGGTCTAGATCTGTGATTTAATTAGAGACAGGAACTAGTGAAAGTATTATCTGTACCCATGCAGCTTGACGGCTAACTGTTCTGTAACCTGAAAAATTACTTCCGATGTTGAATGACTTGTCAGGCTTCTACAGCCAGATTTGAACCCAGGCTTTTTGGAGGCTGACCCTCAGGAAATGGATAGCCATGCTACTGTTGGGTTTAAGGTTAGGAATAGTCTAACACAGTAACCACCTTTTAAAAAACTAAAAAAACAAACCACAGATACTGTTTTTACATCATCCAGATTTCCTTGTAAATCTCTCCTCCCTCTGAGTGTCAATCCACAAAACAAAACCAGATTTTTTTAGAAAGAGGAAGAAATGGGGGAAGAACACTAGAATCTATCAGCACATTAAAAAAATCTGATGCATGGGGCAGCTAGGTGGCTCAATGGATAGCGCACTGGCCCTGGATTCAGGAGGACCTGAGTTCAAATCTGGTCTCACAAACAAAACACTTACTAGCTGTGTGACCCTGGGCAAGTCACTAAACCCCATTGCCCAACCTGAATGAATGAATGAATGAATGGATGAATAAATAAATAAATAAATGAATAAATAAAAATCTGATGCAATGTCCTATATTCTTCAACTGTGCCCCCTCCACCCACCTCCTGGTGACCATTACCTTAAAGCGCTAAATAAATGCTAGTCTGGAGTCAGGAAGACCTGAATTCAAATCTAGTCTCAGACACTTAACTAGCTCTGAGTCCCTTGGGAAGTCATTTAACCCCTGTTTGCCTCATTTTCCTCATCTGTAAAGTGGAGATAATAGTACCACTTACCTCCTAAGGCTATTGTAAAGAACAGATGAGATAATAATTAGAAAGCACTTAGCGCAGTGTGCTAAGTCCCTCTAGCAATACAGCCTAGCTTTTATGAAGTGCTTGTTGAATAGAATGAGCCTTTTAGATGACTTCTAAGTGGCTCAATGCTCCCCTCTGCTGGCAATCTTCTGTTTTTGTAGCCACCTACCTAAAAAACGGGGAAAGCCTTTAGGCATCCAGGTTTTCACACACATTTGTTCAACCATTATTTATTACATACCCACAATATGGAAAGGCCTAGGATAGAGACAAAAGATAACCAAGACTCTTATCTTAAATTATTAATAATCTGCCCTCAAGGAGTATAGAGTCATTACATATTACAGAGAAATGAAAAGGTAGCTACACAAAAAGCTTGGAGTTTAAGGGGATGCTTCACAGGTCCAGTAGAAAGTTTCACTTTGAGGCCATGCTCGGGGCCTGCCCCCTTCTTGTGAGCTCCCCTGGCACCTCTAGGAACAACAGCTGCTGTTTTTCCCCAAAGTCTAATTCAGGCCCTTGCCAATGTCTGGGGACCAGAGGTTCCCAGGTATTCAGTGCGTGGTTCCCAGATATTCAGTACCCCTGTCACCTTTCTTTTACCTCATCCCTTTGTTTTTAGATCTTTAGGGGAAAAAAGACCCTTCTCTTTCTTCCCATCCATAGAACTGACTTGCTTTTCCAAATTCTTTCCTGGGACTAGGCATTTCAGGATGTGATAGGGCAAGGCGGTTACTAGAAGAGCTTTCTCTGCCTTTCCTGTGTTCCTAGGGGATGAGTTGCTAGGGAATCATAACCCTCATGGTCAGGCCTCATGGCCAGTCTCTCTCCCAGTCACAAAGTCTCACTCTGATATATCAGAGATGCTGACAGTACCTCGCATCTGTAGCAACATCTTTTTTTGATCCGACAGTTGTACATAGTACTTTCAGCAGGTGGCATTATCCCCATTTTCTAGATGAAAAGAACTAAAGTTTGCTCACAGTCATATAGCTAGGATCCGAGCTCAGTTATAGAACATCTGTCAGACATAGGTCCTCTGGTCTGACTCTGCTCATCTCAGATTTTATGTGAGGAAACTGAGGCCTAGATAAAGATTTGTCACAAAGAAATCAGTGGTAGAGCTGGGATTTGAACTCTGGTCTTCTGACCTACAGTGTTGGTGTATCTTTATATTAGATCCCAAAGTCTAGCTATGAAGCCTCCAAATGCAGGCAATGTAGCTTCTGAGGCAATGAGAGCTTCTCCCTTGGAATGAGGGAGAACCAAGGAGCAAGGACGTGTCTCTTCTTTTCTGGGAAAGAGACAAGGTGCTAAAAGTAAAAGACCAACAGGAGATCAACATACATGACTTTAAAGAGCCATCGCAAGGCAGTGATGAATGAGGGCTTCCAAATCTCAAAGAACAAACGCAGCCTCAGGAAGAGGTATGAGAAGGCACACTCCTTGTGGGTCTGTGGGCTGCTACATTCATTGCATGTATTGTTAGACTATTTTGAAGTAGTGATATTATTTTTCCTCTTTTTGTTATAAGTGATGGCTCCTTTGGAGGGGGAGATGGAAAAAGTGCTTAGGAAAGTTTAAGTGATGTAAAAAAAAGTATTATCTTTTTTTTTTTTGCTTTTAATTTTTTTATTAATTTATTTTTAGTTTTCAACAATCACTTCCAGAAGCTTTTGAGTTTAAAATTTTTCTCCACCTCCCTCCCCAAGATGGTACTCAATCTGATATAGGCTATATATATATATATATATATACACACATTCTTATTAAACATATTTTCACATTAGTCATGTTGTAAGTAAGAATTAGAACCAATAGGAGGAACCACCAGAAAGAGGAAACAAAACTCAACAGAAGAAAAAAAATAGCAAATAGTATGCTTCAGTCTGCATTCAAACTCCATAGTTCTTTCTTTGGATGTGGATAGCATTTTCCATCACAAGGCCTTTGGAGATGTCTTAGATCTTTGTTTTGCTGGGAAGGGTTAAGTTTATCAATATTAGTCATCGTACAACATGGCTGTTATCGTGTACAATGTTCTCTTGGTTCTGCTCACTTCATTCAGCATCAGACCATACAAGTCTTTCCAGGTTTTTCTAAAGTCAGCCTGTTCATCATTTCTTATAGCATAATAGTATTCCATTACATTCATATACCACAGCTTGTTCGGCCATTCCCCAATTGATGGGCATCCTATCAATTTCCAATTCTTTGCCACCACAAAAAGAGCTGCTATAAATATTTTTGTACATGTGGGTCCTTTTCCCATTTGTATGATCTTTTTGGGACATAGCCCTAGAAGTGTTATTGCTGGGTCAAAGGGTATGCACATTTTTATAGCCCTTTGGGCACAGTTCCAAATTGATCTCCATAATGGTTGGATCAGTTCACAACTCCACCAACAATGCATCAGTGTTCCAATTTTCCCACATCTTCTCCAGCATTTATCATTTTCCTGTTTTGTCATGTTGGCCAATCTGATAAGTGTGATGTGATCCCTCAGAGTTATTTTGATTTGCGTTTCTCTAATCAATAGTGATTCAGAGCATTTTTTCATATGACTATAGATGGCTTTAACTTCTTCATCTGAAAACTGCCTGTTCATATCCTTTGACCATTTATCAATTGGGGAATGACTTGTATTCTTATAAATTTGACTTAGTTTTCTATATATTTTAGAAATGAGGCCCTTATCAGAGATGCTGGTTGTAAAAAAAAAAAGTATTAAAGAAAGTAAAAGCCATGGTCATTCAAGGATCTTTAATCATTAAATTTGATGGTTAAAGGAGGGGAGACGAGCAGAGGGTTGTACCAGCACACCAGATATACAGCTTTTAATTGCCGATGTCTTGTTCATCTCATGGTCAGGTTTGCCCTGGCAGAGGCTTGCATGGAAGGCAAGACAATTCAGGTCCATTTGCTCCAGGATCAGGAGCTACCCTTAGCAGAAAGTTACCTTTGTTTTCTTCCCCCAGGATGGTGTCAAGGACTCCCGTAACCATCCCCTCTACACGGCACTGTGCCGAGCAGGAAAGGCCAGCTTCAACAAGGACAGGGATCTGTGTCACGTGCAACTGGTACCCCAGCTAGAGAAGCAAGAGGTGGCAGTCCTCCATGTCTCCGTACAAAGTGAGTGGGTGTACGTGGCTTGGGAATAGCTGGGGGGATCTTCGAGTGTAGGAGAGAACTTCATGGAGAATGCTAGGTCCACAAGGCATACCAGGTCAGCCAGTGTATCAGCCCTTCATTCCCTCCTTAGGGCTGAACCATACAGAGACACCCTACCCCAGTCTAGTGCCCTAGGGGCCTCAGGCAGTGAACTTCATGGCTTTCCCCACCTAGCCTGGTGCCCTCATGTTCAATGTTCCCTTCCTTTCCCCACAGCACACCTTCAGCCCAAGGAGCTGTATGAAGTATTGAAGAAGAGATGGGATGATTTGAAAGTGGTAAGCAGCCCAAAGGAAACATTATGAGACCTGGACAGAGGTTTCCTTAGCAGCACCCTCCTCTTCTGCCCCACTTCATCTCCTCCCCTGTTCCCTTAGCGTCTTAGAGAAGGGCCAGCCCTCAGGATTGCCCCTTTTCGTTAAGGGGATCAGGATTCTTAAGGATTGGACCAGAGCAAGGTGCTCAGGAGGAAAGGCCTCAGCTGCTCCCTCTTGACCAGCATCAAGATGGAGTGGAATAAATAGATAAAGGGAAGAACAGAACCAAGGAATAGATGGGTACCAGTCACTTCAGATTGGAATAGAGGATTCGGAGAGATCAGAGGAGGCTTTCCAATCAACCAACAAGCATTTATTGAGCGCTTGCTGTAAGCCAGGCACTAGGCTAATCACTGGGGATGCAGGTACAGGTACAAAGAGTAGAGTAAAAAGCCCTGTTGGCAAGGAGCTTACTAGCTAGCGAGTACCAGTATTAGATAAGTATGCACAGCCTGGGCTCTACACTCAGAGTCTGTGAACTTGGTGTCTAAAAATGGTTTGATTATTTTCAATATTATTGGTTTCCTTTGTAATTTTATGTTTTATTTTATGCACTTAAAAATGTAGAAAGCATTCTGAGAAGCAGTCACTAGGCCCCACCTGACTGCCAAAAGGGTCCACGACACTCAAAAAGAATAAGAACCCTCGCTCTATTTCCCTAATGTAAGAGAAATAAATACAAATAAGGAAATGCAAAGTTGTTAAAAATAGAAGGTAGTTTAGGAAGGAAGGAGAGCACTAGCAGTTGAGAAGACCTGAAAGGGATTTGTGCTTTTTGATTTTGGAGGATGAGGGAAGCTGTGAGGTCAAGGTAAGGATGGAAGGCATTCCAAGGTATGGTGGACAGCCGTGCACAGGCTGACAGATGCAGTGTCTAGTCTGAAGAACCATAGGGAAGGCCAGTTTATCTGGATCGTAGAATGCAGGAAGAGATTAAATTTCCAGTGAGGCTAGAAAGGTAGCTTGGGGGCCTGGAAACAGGGAATTTCCTCTAGGGGGAACCATTGGAGTTGAGTAGGGGACAGTCATGAGGGGCACTTTGCACAGTACCCAGCACATAGTAGGTGCTTAAGTACTTTGATGCTTGTATGTCCCAGAACCTGACTCTAATGAATTCCTTTTTGGACAGTTGGGTGTCAGTAACATGACGTATGGAAAGGAGAGTCTGGACAAGGACGTGGAGGACCGATTCAGCATGCCTCTCATCATAACCATCGTTTGCATGGCAGCCTTCCTCCTCCTCGTGGCAGCCCTTTATGGCTGCTTCCACCAGCGCTTTACTCAGCGCAAAGACCAGGTGAGAACACTGCTCATTCCACCCCTGGCCCTCCTACTTAAAAGGAGATGAGATGGTGTGATTGGAGGAACGCCAACATTTCTTCCCACTCCCCCAACCTCTCCACCCCCCATGCCGTGTGCTTTCTCTTCTCTTAAATGTATGGTCAAATGACACTTAAGTGTTCCATTTCCACCTAGGTTAAATATAAAAGGTAGGGGCATTGTCTCTAAAGGGCTTCTATTAAAAAGCCAGAAGAATGGTTTGGGGCTTCTCCTGGATCGTGCAAAGGGTGTGGTCTCTAAAAGGAGATAGGAGACTTAAAAGAAAAAGAGTTGGTCCTGGTCCATTTCCTCCACTCTCCAGGAAAACAACAACAAAAAAAACTTGCCCAGTATTACTGAGCTCTCCAGTGAGGTCATCACCTAGAGTTGCCTCTAGAGGGAGCCAGCTGCTTAATGTTGTAGCAAAGGACTTGGTGGAATTGTAAGGGGAGGAGAGGGGGTGGCGATCACTAGATTCATGAAACACCCCAATCCCTCCCACTGGCTTTCCCTTAGTCATCTTCCCATCCCTTTCCCAGCAACGCCTGACAGAGGAACTGCAGACTGTGGAGAACGGGTACCATGACAACCCAACCCTGGAAGTGATGGAGACTTCCTCTGAGATGCAGGAGAAGAAAGTGGCCAATCTCAACGGTGAGCTGGGGGACAGCTGGATAGTCCCACTGGACAACCTGACCAAGGATGATCTGGACCAGGAAGAAGAGGATACACACCTGTAAGGCCACATATCTGCCAGCTCTGACCACCCCCGTGCGACTCTTGAGACTTAATCACCCAAAGTGCCACTTGAGCAGAGGGAGGAAAATCAACCTCCTCCCCACCTTGAGAGAGACATGAATAGAGAAAGAAACAAGAAGGGAGCAGATGCCTACGTGCAGGGTGATGGGTCTCCTTCCTTCCCACCCCACTTCATCTCGAGGGGGCTTTAACTTTTTCATTTTCTAGCCAATGGAAACAATTCATCTTAAGAGGTTAGAGGAGGGCAAAGGGGGTGGGGGGATGGGAAAATGGCCACACAGTTTCCCCTGGGTCAGGACAGCTAGAAAGATATAATGGAAAGCAAACCTGGTGTCAGTTTATATCCACGTGGAGACCTGTTTTCTAGCCTTTTCTCCTCTTCTCAGGAGTAAAGCTATTTGTCATCCTTCCTGTGCCCCCTGGCAAGGGCACAGATCACCCCTGGCCTTGAACTACTTATTGTAAGCAAAATTCTGATTTCCTTGTTCACCTCTTTGGTGAGGTGGAGATTTTACCTGCCAGACCAAGTGTGAATTGTTCCTGCTCAAGGAATCCATCCACAGGTGAGAGGCAGGATTTAAACTTCCTGAATGGCCATAGTGGTTGGCTGGCAGGAAGCCTCGGCACTCAGCACCTCGTGGTTAAGACACTGGTTAGAGTGGGTCCAGGGGAATAGATCTGCCTGCCTCACATCCAGCTAACATCTCTCAACTCTGCTGAAGCCATTGTGGACATCATGCTCTCTGATCTGCACATATTACCTGCTAGGGAGAATGGATCCCAGAACCCACATGGCCCCTCACTCCCACCACTGAAATAGAAGCTGCTTTTTGGGACAAAGCCCCCCACTCCTGAGGATCATCTGTCAGCACACTTTCTTAAAAAAGACAATCAATGCAGCAGGAAAGGGTAGGATCCATCCAACCCTACATGTGAAACTCAGGGACTAACCAAGTTGCTGGGAATTATTTACAAAGGAGGGAGAGCGAGTGGCAGACCCTCACCTCTTCCCCCACAAACACACAATCCCAAGATTAAACTGTCCAGTGGTTTCTATAATCTCATCAGTGTGAGTCTTCTGTCTCCATTGGTGGGTATCACAAGCCCGTCCATGTTTTATCTTCCGACCATTCTTGTCCATATTCTTCTCTAGAGGTTTCCTACAAAGGATCTACTTAATGGGTTAGCAGTGCTCCTCCTCCCTTTTTTTTTTTTAAATCCCTGGTAGATACCAGGCGCTACTTGTCTTTGCTCCTATTATTTGCCTAGCCGACCTTCTTTCCCCATCACACATAACTCAAGCTACTCCTAGGTCATTGTTGGATGGTGGCTGTATAACGCATTTATGCTTACCATGCAGCTAAGTGATGAGTCACACTAAAAGACTTATTTCAGTTCCAATCCTTTAAAGACAGTACATGTGTAGATGGGAATAGAAGTAGGGGCATCCAGGGTGGATGTATACTCAGAAATCCATAAGTGTGGATGACATCATGATGCTGGCAAAACCTATCTACTGAAAAAGACGGATTTTTAAAAAATGTAGTCATTTAAAAGTTACCTAAAATGGCAGCTTGTATTCATATCACCTTCTTAAACTGTGCAATGTACAGTAATGGGCCTATTGCTAGCCTCTGATTACTCTGGAGCAAGTCAGTGGGGAATACTGGTACCTAAAACTGGCTCATTTTTGAGAATTACAGGGAATTTTCAGTTGGGACACATCTCAAAACTGACTTCAGGTTTCCATCACTGATTGTAATTTTTAGCTTCACTTTATGGACTTTCAGGAAGAAAGTAAACATTCAAAAGATCAGGTGGACCTAAGCAGACACGGCCTGGAGTTTTGGTCACAGTCTACAAATTTAGTTGGCAATTTTCATGTGTGTTAATTATTATTAACATTAAGTTTGCTAAGTCTCGGGCAGGCTGCACGCCAGGTTCTGGAAACACGGCAGATGTTGGTTCTTTAGCTCTAGCAGCACCCATCCCTGGGGAGCAATAATTGATATGCAGTATTTATGTTTGGATTCAAACCTGTTCTCACCCTGTTTTGATGTTCTGCCCCAATTTTCCTGTGGTGTCCTCTGGGGGTTTCAGAATTGCCCCCTGGCTGCCCTGATTTAAACCACCCCCACTCCAGGTCATCAGGAATCAGTTTTGGCCTGCACATTTCCTGAGCTTCCTTCTCTTCTCGGGGCAGCTAGTAGCAGGGAGGAGGAGAGGCTTCTTAGGAAACTGTACTACAGTAGGCTTACCTTCTCATTTTCTTGAAGTCTGCAGGAGTTTTGCGTGGAGTTTGCACCTGTGCCCAAGGTCCCCAAATGCCAGGGCCCCTGGAGGTGGTTGTCGATCAGGCTCCAGGAAGCAGCTGTTTGAGTGCTTTTCATGGCATTGATGCAAACTGGTAGTCTTTTCAGTGCCTCTTTGTCCAGGAGGCAGCAGGCCAATTTCTTACAGGTTTGACTTGGGTCCATTTGAACATGAATTACACAAAGGATATGTGTCAGCATCCTCTGATAAGGACATCAGAGTTCTGGTAGAATTCACCCTTTTAGGAGTGGGATTTATTTTTTATTTTGTAAATGCCAGACTTGTGATTGCTTTGGAGTAGAGAATTCCTGGTCAGGATTGTTAGGTAGAGAAGTAATTGCTCAGTAATTTACAGGTTAAGTGATTTGTTCAGTACCCAAACAGTCAACACTGGACTTTGTCAGGATTTGAACATAGGCTTTCCTGATTGTGAGGCTGGCTCTCTGGCCACTGCCAAAGTTGCCTATCTTGAGTTATTAAGTTTAAAGGGTCCAAAGCACAAACCTCTCAGTGCCAGAACTGCCTCTGTAATTACCTCTGACAATGAGTTGGGACAACCCCAAGCAAAAAGGACCTTTCCACCCAAATATGGCTCACAGACTCGAGGGCTCTTATGGGCATTTTGAGCAAGCCCAGATTTAGAGTAACGTTAAGCCAGCACCACCCATACACAACAACCACATGCCTTTTGCATTGCTTTCTTTTGGACAATTAGGTTGGAGAAACAAAGGAGATGTATTTTGAGTAATTTGGTCCAGAATGAAGGGGTCTGCTCCTTTGTGCCTAGTGTTAAGGCTAGGTTGATCTTCTTGCTCATTTTCCAAGTGCCCCATGCCTTATTAATAGGTGAAAAAACTAGTCTGTATTCTCCTCTGGAAGCTGTTGCTTATTCCTGCTGCCTTTAACCTAGGCATAGCCATATTGTCCCTGGCAAAAAGACCAAATCAGAGGAAGCCTTGTGTTGGGGGCCACAGGAAGCTTCTTTAGTTGCAACATGTCTTCAGGGGTGAGATAGTTGAAAGAGTAGCTGAAGCCCAGACTGAGATAATTCAGGTTATAACTCTGTTACGAAGTTTTGGGATGCTAAATATGTATCTTCTCCATCATAGTTACATTTCTGAAATTCCCCAGAAGGCTCCAGGATCTGGAAGTCTTTTATCTGGGTAGTACTATGCCTAGCGCACAAAATCTAGTACATTGTGCACCTTGCCGCCGCCATCCCCCACCCAAAAGACAGTTGGGAGGTTACCTCAAAGTCTCAGTCATTAGTTGGAAGAATACAGTTCAAGTAAGCATGGGTCCCCAAAAAGGCCATGATAAGAGGAATTTTGAACTTCTATTTTTTAAAAATAAAAATTTTATCTATATCTTTTGTTTTTACATTGCCTCAATTTTCCTCTGGACTTTCCCCCTCCCTTCCTCTTCCTATAATCTGTCTCATAACAAAGAATTCTTTTTTCTTTTTAAGAAAAAAGAAACTTGGCAGATGACAGGTTTCCGGAGGCTGCCTGATAATTGAGCTAGATGTCATGAACCAACACCCACTGAACAAGCCACCAGCTGCCATCCAGCCTCAACAAGTAATCTGGGGAGGGGGGGGAGCACTGACATATCAATAAATAGAAATACAGAACTTTCCTTCCCATTTAAAGGAAGGAAGCTACACCATTATAAGTACGTCAGGATAACAGAAAAGTTTCTTTGGTCTCTCCCCTACCACAAATGAAGTTCGAAGCCGAAGTGTTATTTAAAATGCCCAAATCTTTGATCTTCTTGATTGAGCTCTGGACAGAATTTGGAAAAAAAAAAAAAAGTCCATTCTATTACATATTTTTTTGAAGATTATATATATGGGACTATCACACATTAAACTCTGACTTGCTGTAAGAATATACTTTTGAAAAATGGTCACAATTTTAAAAACTTAAAAACAATGCATTGGGCCAGATCCAGCATTCACTCTGGGAGACCCCAAGAACAGGGCTTTTTTACCCTCCATTTCTTGTCTGTGGCATGCACAAAGGGACCACTGATGAGGGAGAAAAGTCAATATGCTACCTGTTGAGTCTAGCGTTGCAGGTGATGAAACTGAGGCTTAAAAGAAGTGGTTATTTGTTGTAGAGAGCCACAGACCTTACTGGCAGAACCTGGACTAGAATTTGTGTCCTGATTCTAGATCCCTTATTTTACCACTATATATACATGCCTTATTGGCCTGAAGGAATGAAAGCCTCTTCTCATTTTCATTTGAAACCTTTGATTCAGTGATGGCTCAGAAGCTATTAGATCAGTTGTACACCAAGGGAAAACTTCTTTCTAAATGCAAAGACAATGTATCTTTTCAAGATAACAAAGTAATAGGCTTCTTCTTCCTTATCTGAGTAACGCAAAACTCTCTCTTAAAAAAGCAAGTAACAAAGAGCTTGGTCTTGGACTCACAGAAGCTGGTTGGGACCAGTTAGTGGCATAGTAGGGTTTCTGGAACATTGGTTAGGTAGGAATCTGAAAGCCCAGGGTCTCCTGCCTCCCTTGCTTGGGATTGGTGAAGCTGCTAAACTTCAGTCTTGTGGCAAAGTTCCACCCCAAACAGAGACTTCCACCTGATCCTTAGGTATGTGCTTCAGACTTGCTGTGGTCTAGTCATCTACCCACTGTGAGAGAGCTTGTCCTCCTTGTAGATCAGCACTTTGAATCCCAAGTCTTTTGAATTTTCTATAAATATTTACCAGGTGCTGATCCATCTGTAATCATTTGTTAATGATTTAGATTTGGCTCTACTTCCAAAGGAATCTTCTGAGACTAGTCCATCCTGTTTGCATCTTTCTTTAGAGAATGGGGGCAGAATAGAGTGTGACTGATATGTTTGAGGGAGGAGACAGGAAGGGAAGGCTAAGTAAGCACAGATTCAAGAGGGCACAAAGATATAAGGACACCAATTGCTGCCTTCCTGCTCCCACTTGAATCATGCAATCCCTAGATCACAGGCCTGAGACTAAAAGGACCAAGTTGCTCTTGATAACTCATGGTTGACACCTTTAGAAATTATGTAATTTGAAATAGTAAAATGTTTCAGATTTCTCTTTGGTGGTGGAATTCTTTAAAACCATTCTCATAATTGCACATGGAAAAAGAGTCCTTTTTCAGGGCCAGGATTTTTGTTGGCTGGGTTAGAAATGGGTGGGGATAAAGAGAGGAGTTGAAGCATTTTCTACTTTTCTCACTTGGCATATTCACTGTAGACATCAGGCCAAACTATAAGGGAACACTTCTAAGGGGCCTTAAAAAGTTAATGTCATCTACATTATCAGAGGTTAGTTCTCCTGGCTGCTATCAGTGAGCAGGAACAGATGTCTTAAGTACACTGGAATCTATTGAGAAACTGGATTGTAGAGATTATGGTGAATTCTTTCATTTTCCTACAAAACTATATTTTGGAAAACTTTATGCTGTCAATTAAAGTTCTTTTGTGTAAAATTGGTCTCGAGCCTTGATATTTCATTCTAATTGGCTAAAACTGCTACTATTTGTGGCTACTATTTGTGGTGGGGCAGGCTATTTGGTACAATCCATGGGAGTTATTGATAGGTTAGCAAAGGCATAATGAGAAAGGACAAAGGTCAAGAAAGGAGATGAAAATTAAAGGTAGATAATGAGGAATGTACAAGGTGTGTTAGTGGACAGCTCATCAGATATCCATCAGAGTACTTTAGCAACCACAGACTACCTTCCACTGTTTTCCCTTCACCTTCCATGCAACTGAAGTGAGATCTGTGGGACACCCACAAGAAGCACTGAAGAAGAGAGTCCGGTATTACGTTCTATCATCATCATCCTTGACTGGCTACAGGATCTGGATATTTTCCAATTGTCTATTAGGAAGAGTCTTACCAATTTTGCTGATTCCCATAGAGAAAATTGTTAATGACTCAGTTCACAGGGCCTGTGCTCATTTTTTATACAGGATACCATAATAAGACACAATGTGGAAAAGTGGGAGCAATGCATTAGTTGGGTATCAGCATGTAGGTTAGAATTAGGGTATTTCAAGATAAACTTTTGAAGCTTTCCAGGATCAGGAAGGGAGATTAAGTATGAATGAACACCCAGGACAGGATCTTGGCCTTCCAAGCAGCAGAGATTGTTCCAAGAAAAATGACTCGGAGTTTATCACTGGCCACAAATTGGACCAAAAGCTCTACAGTCTTCCTGGTGCTAGTCACCTTTATGGCCTGCCAGCCAAGAGGCCAGGTTCTAAAGTTTATGTCCTGACCTCTGCAGCTTGCTCTTCCTCCACAGTCTCTACTATCAAGGAGGTATGCAGAAAAGACATCTACAGATATTCATGGTATGTGGGCTGGGTTCTGACACTGACTAGGGTGTCCAGATGAGTCCATTAACCTAAAATGAGGATACGTTGTGGTGAGGGAGGTGGTTTATTTTAATTGTTAAGTACAACTAAAACAATTTAAAAGTGTTTAGACTGCTTTAGAAGTAATTGAAACCCTCTTAATAATCCTATCCTAGTGTTCCTCTTTTAAGGATACTTAAGCAGCTAGGTGGCATAGTAAGTCACTTAACCTATCTCCCTCAGTTTTCTCAACTATAGAATAAGGACAATAGTGAATCCCAGAAGAACAAATAAGATTATTTGTAGAGTGTTTAGCACAATGCTGGACATATAACAGACTCTGCTAAGGCATAAAAGTTGAATAGCTTGCTCAAGGCCAAAGCATCAACAGTAGAGGTAGGGATAAGATCTGGGGATAATAAATGTTTGTTGGACAGATCTGACTAAGGGATAAAGCAAGTGCTGTCAAACCTGTGTCCAAACAGCAATTTCAAAAATGGGCTGCCTACATCTCGGCAAAAACGCTGTAAGTGTGCTATCATCTCCCTCTCCCCTTCTGTGGTCACCAACTGCAGCCCCCAAATAACAAACACAGACCTGGACTTTGGGTTGGCCATTTCTAGTTTCTAATTCCTCTTTTGCAGTGGATAAATATAGTGCTTCTCTTGCTGATGGCCTCTCCATCACTAGAGAGGCAGAGGAAATTATAAGAGTGGTACTGATCATCATCATGTCCCAGCCCTGGCCACTAGAAACTATTTCAGTACTCCACACAAAATCCCCACCCTCCCATTCCAGTATTAAAATGGTATGAACGTGAACAGGCTCTAAGAATTAAAAAGGAACAATCTACGTAACTTTTCAGATACCTATTTACCATCCTTTTTAGTTATTCTGAAGGGATACTGAGAATAAAGTACTGATTGTGCTTGGGAGTGAGGAAGGCCTAGGTAAAAAACAAAAACAAAAAACTACATCTCAGACATCAAACTTCGGACCTCAAGTGAGGCTCAAGCCTTGGTTTCTTCATCAAAAACCCGATTACAAAAACATCTGTACTCAGGACTGTTAGGATCAAACGAGAATTTGTATGAAAAATATGTTGCCATCTTCCAGGACTACGTAAGTGTCAATTATTATTGAGTAGACTGGTCAATTTTCCTGACAGCATTTTTCTGGGAGGCAGACTGTCTTTCATAAGGGTCTGCATTCGTACACTTGCATGTTTCCCTATTTTTCACCTGTTGTGACAAAGGAGGGGGCCAAAGCCCCTGGGGAACAGGGACTCCATTCTGTGTATTAAGGCTTAAATCTAGCAGCATCACTTAAGGAAAAATTTGTGGTCAACACTACTGAGACACTGCAGAAAGCCATCCCAACTGAAGCCAGTAAGAATACAATAATGGAGAAAAGACCATTTATTTCCCACATTCCTGGCCTTATCATCCCACATCACTCTTTCCTGTTTTGAGGACACACAGAGAAATGTTATTTATATGCCATACTCAAAGTATGCCCCAAAATGAAGTAGGGAAAGGGTTATTTGATTTGCAGACTGAAAAAAATTTCTGCCACAAACAAGAATCTCATTCCATAACAGCTAGATATATGATAAAGCCAGGAGAATGCAAGCCAGATAAGGAAAAAGAAAAATCCTTAGCCCAGCATCATGGAAATACTTTGTTGACTATACATGACACATCCAGCCAAACCTGGGAGTAAACTTGGACCCTGTAGAGATGCCTACACAATTAGTGTAGCAACTAAAAACAAATTTTTTTTTTAAAGCTTAGGACCGTTATGGCCAACCCACCATCCCTAATTTTGGCAGCTACGTTTCCAGGGACCTTTTTTTCCTTCTCCTGGGGACCCACAGGCAGAAATTCCTAGATCACTACAGTTATTTGCCAAGTCATTCCTCTTCCACTTTTTTTTACACACATAATCACCACCCGTGATTTAAATTCCTCTTTTATAGGACCTACTGCAATGGACACAAGTTCTACTTAAAGAAAACTCACTATATAAAAATATGATATTGTGAAACCAGGCAATTACTCAATTTACTGAAGTATTAACTTCACAAAAGAACTTACCACAGAGAACCCTTTAACTAGGGAGCTCCCTAAATCTGTTTTAAATTGATTTACCAAAATTCTCTCGACACACATTTCCAAAAATACCTGTTGTGTGAGTTTCTAAAACCTACTTCTTTATTCTGTTTCTTGTAGTTTAGACAATCCTAAATAACTTACGAAGGACAGATTTCCTACCTCCCTTACTTTCTTAGTCTCCACGTTGGGAATCCAGCTCTGCTGCATTAACCAAAGTTCAACTTTAACAAATAGGGGATGGGGTAGGAGTAAAGTGCCCAAGTAATATTTAATGGTCAATTTTAAAGGGTTCTCTTAAGAAGACAAAAAAAAAAGACACATCCTGCATTTCCCATGTACAACTTTTTATTAAGAAAAAATGAACAAAATACATTCTTTCTCCATATGTACATTACATACAACGTAATTCTACAATTAATTGTTCAGCAGATCGCTCATTTATTTATTCAGAGTAGTGCTCACATATTCACCAAACCAGGGATCAAAAAATTACTTGTGTTCAAAGAAAAAAAAAGTATTCTACTAATCAAAAAAAGAAAAAACCCAGGAAACAGAGGGGAGGAGGAAGGGGAATGGTGATGTAAGAAGGAGGGGAAAAGAGCCCAGCACAGATGTCATAAAACCTCAGCAAGAGAAGATAATGATATTGAATGAAATCTGGTGTCCTAAAGTCTAACATGTTTCCCAGGTACAAGTCCACCTCATATTTATTTTGACTTTTCTCCACTTCTTCATGCCTCTCATTGATGGTTGGGGCACCCTTGGACACAGCCCTGAGCACACGTGTGCAGGGACGCAGGATTAGAGCACTCTAGACAGACCACAGTGGCATTTCTTTTCTCCACAGTGATATGAGTTCCATAATAATAAGGATGTGGGGAGGAGGCCCAGGTCACCAACGCAAATTTCTTAGATGAGAAAGTTATCAGCTTTCACTAACAACATGCTCATTTCTCATTTATATCATTTAGCCTCTGTCTCTCTAAGTGAAAAACTCTTGACATAGCCTGTGAGGACAAAAGTACTCTTTTTTTTTTTAAAGAGACAACTGTAATTCTAATGCCATAAGGGGTAGTTTCTATCTAAAAGTTCCATCTTACAAAAGGACATGACTCAGATGTTTATGCCAATGCATATCTGATTTTGAAGCCCAACCACTTGGCAGAATAACCTGTTAAACTGAAACATCCACTACCATGAGCAGGACAGCTCATATCCAACAGTGATTTTTTACTAGTAAAAATTTTCTTCAGATTTCTATTGAGAAATGGGAATAACTTCAAAATACCTAAGTTTTATCCTTAACAGGCACCAATGAATGAATCTCCACATGTTAATAATGAGAGCACAAAATAAAGGTTCTCTTGCAAAATCAGTTTACCACAAACTTTCTACCATCTCTAGGGTAGTTAAAAAGTCAAAGGAAATGTAAAACTAAGAAGTGTCATTAAAGACTTTCAGCAGTAAGAAGTTGTACGCTCTGATTGCTAGGAGTATATGTGTCTGATTTGGAATGTGGTGAGCAGCAGATTTTGGAGAAAGGTTTCTGGCTATGGATGCCATACTATCTCTCTTTTGAGCCTCTATTTTTGTGGCTTATGAGCTCTACTTCTATCTGAAAGCATTAAAGATTCTTTCTGTTGGCTGTAAAAAAAATTTGAGCCAAAGTCAAAGACAAAGTTTTACCATATCATGCCCCCAACTTGCCAGCAATCACATTTTATACCAGAATGAAAAATTCTTGCCAAAGTCAAGAAAAGAGAAAATTCCAAGTATTGAAGTCAGCTTTCCTGCTCATTTTCTGAAAAAATAAAGCTCTGCTTATCATGGTCTTTTGAGTGGACCTGATGGGTTTGGGGTGAGGGAGAAGGAGTTTAATTATAAGGACTAAATCCAGGAAAATCAAGCCTTTAACAGAAAGCTGATCAAACACACACGCAGCTTTCTAAGTTAAGAGGATCAAAGTTATAACATTATTTTGAAATTTCTATTGGGTTGCATAATCCATGTGAGGCAATACACTAATATTGAAATAGTTCCTTCCAAAAGGCACCTCACACATCCTAAAAACATAAGTTGGCTTGAGGACCAGCACAAACACCACATCTCTGGGGCAGGATGAATTTCATGAAAGAAAAATAAGCAAATCATCATGTCTTCCTCTGGCATGCTTTCAACTGACAAGGCACTCATTTGCAAATTGTCAAATGAAATATACACTGCTATAGCTATAGCATCAGTCTGGGGGAAAACTGCAGAGGGATACAAGCAGGTGAGTTCTTTTGCTTTACCCCCTCTTTCCCAATTCAGTAAAAAGTACAATAAGCCTTTCGAAAGCAGATGGGACTGCTTTCTCATAAGAACTGGGACAGGTATGGTCATATATTCACTTCATTATGTCCGAGCATCACCAAGTGGCAGCAGAATTGCCTCTGCAATCACACAACTTGTGAACTCAACTTCTGGAGTTACTGAGGGCTTTCAGAGCACCACCACATGTGTGCCAATGAACTACCAAACTGACAAAGAAAAGGCAATCCCAGGGCTTCTGGGGACAAGAGTCTGGGTAGCCTACGTTAAATGCAGGAGCAATTTCTTGTAAAATTCTTTAGGGAGAGTCACAAATTGCAGCTAAGACAACAGCTAAATAAAATAACTTGAGACTGTGACTAATTTATGCATCTGGCCTTAGCTGGATCAAATCAGGTAATCCTTTGTTACAATTGTCCATGTTCCCACAGAACTGACAGAGCTCCTTCTTGGGTTTTCTATAGGTAAAAAAGGGAGAGTCTGGGAAGGAAATTTCCTTAACAATCTTGGACAAGGGTATTGGTGTCTATGACCTTTTTAAAAGAAATACTTTCATAACTATTTCAACATAATAAATTTCTGTTGTAATCCTATGTATTTTATGTATTTAAAATCATTATTCTGAGAAGGGCTCCATGATGAAAAAAAGGTCAAGAACCTCTGTTCTATGACTTTCAATTAACATTTCAGACATGGGTGTAAATTTTCCTTAAAAGGAAAAAGTTAAAACCAAAATCACTTAAGATCCTGATGCCAAGGCTAGAATTCATATATTCCATGAGAAAATAAACAAAGACCCTGAGTTTATGTATGATTAGTTTATTTTAAAACATGGACACCAGCTTGATTCTAAGCAAATTTAGTCTAGGTTTTATGTAGTCACGAAATGACAATTCTCCCCCCCACCCCTTAATCCACCTAGAAAATGAAGGCTAACCAGATGCCAATAATTAAACACAATAATTGCTTTTTTGAGAGCTGTTTGAAAATGGGGGGGGGCCTTGGACTGGCTATCTGAGCAGCCACCTTAATCATAAACACAGGCCTGCTTAGTATATCAGAACACTTTTTCTTTGTTGCCAATTAATTTGGCATTCATTAAGCATCAAATGGAACTGAAGACTGGTGACATTCGCATTCATTAAGCATCAAATGAAACTGAAGACTGGTGATATTGTCAGGCTAGTATTTATGTGGCAGACAGCACAGAGATCCAGACCAACTGCCATGAATGCCAGCAACCCAGATGGTACACAGCTCACCACAGTACAGAGCTACAGAGACAAGCAAGTTCTGTGGGACACCAACATTTGCAAGGAAAGTTTTATTACTATTTTCTATCAGCAAAGGGCTGCATGACTGTTCAGCAGAAGAAGTCCCCCGACCTAGGTCAGACCAAGACTCCACATCACATCCACACCCACATCTCTCCATCAAGATCTCTAACAGCTATTTCAGTGTAAGGTAAGAAATTTATACATCAGACCAGTAATGAAATGCCATTACCCAAGGACTACAGGATTAATTTGACATCCTGGAGGCAAAAAAAAAAAATCCTTTTAATCACCTCTTTCCATAACACTGCAGCACAAATTAGAAGTCTGAGTTCTTTAATCCTGCTACATAATTTATATCAATGTTTTCCAGTCCAAATTAAACTGGTTAATTATCTTTTTAGTGACTACTCAAAAAATAAACAAGTTTTTAACAAGGAAAAGTGTTCTGGAAGAAGAGATAAAATCAACATTTTCAATTTCTATTACTACTCGACATATATGCTTTCAGTCACCATCTTGCTCAGGGAAGGGTGCTGATATTACCAATAATGTAGCCATGTGGACAAACAGCACTCCAATGTCTACAGAGTATCCTATATTAAACCTAAAACATGGAATTTCCTGACTCCTTGTTCTGCATTTAGACTTTATGCTGTGTTTCAAATTTCTTACTCTATACAGACTTATTCTATACTCTTTCCTTGTCCAAAACCTAGACTGGAGGATGAACAAATCCAAGCACACACTGGAAGCGAAACTGTGAAATGGCAAATAAGACACTACCTTAAGCGTATGGTGCCTCTGATACCATTTTAAACATTCATATGGGGGGGGAGGGTTGGGGCACTGTGTCACTAGCATGTGTGTGTGTGTGTGTGTGTGTGTGTGTGTGTGTAAACAAACTTATTTGTTCTTTAAAGTTTATCTTTATCCTCAATAACAAAAACCTCTTGTCAAAAGCACCATAGCTGTCTGGAAAATTTAAAAACAGAACATTAGCATTTTTTTTCTTGATCAAGCTGGACAGTATTAGGGGAAATACTGAGATCTTATTTACAAATAACTACATACTCCAATATGGAGGATGTATTAACATCATTCTTCATTTTGGGTTCCAGTTCAAGTCCTGGAGGGTTTTACTTAGGACAATAACCATGCACTGTCATTTCTCCCTTGGAAGAAGTACCCTTTATTTACTGCTTTTACAGCACACAGTTTGAGGGATACTGACTGACTCTTTATCAGAAGATTTTAAAATCTACTTTGCTAAGAATAGGTTGTAGTCACCCAAAATTTCATCTACTATCAAAACTCCTATTCTCTTGGTGAAAGGGTACATATTTTTTAAAGAAGACAAAAAGTGAACCTCTGAATATGATAACTAATCCACAGCAATTTGTGGGGTTGCTCACATTTAACACTTACCAGAAAAACAAAGAAACACGTTCTCAAATCACAGATCTCAAGTCTACTTCTTTTTGTGGCTAATATTAAAGGTAGGCAAAATACCACTAACACTAAAACTCAGAGGTAGTTTGATTAGAAGAAACATCACGAAAAACACAAAAACAAGAACATAGATGAAACTATAATCCTCCACTGTGATTTGAGTTTCAATGACCTCTGATCTAAAACATGCAAATTACTAAGATCTAGAGCAAAAGAAGAGTCTTGAAAGCTGATGTTTACTTGCCCCGGGGAACTCTACCATTACCAGCCCCATCCCACCCCCATATCACTTTTTGATCATTCCTAAATCTTAAACACATTTTCCCCACATGTCTGAATAAAAAGGGAACAAAAGAAGCATGTTTGTTTCATCAGAACAATTGTTTCTATTTTTTTTTTCTCTTTAGGTAGCTCCACTCTCCTGGGCAATGCTGTCAAGCTTGTATGGATCTGAGGAAATCAAGAAAAAAAAAAATCTAAGACAAATAGACTTCCCTTTCAAAATGTTTTTTTTTGTCATCATTAAAAACCATATCTGAAATTTCCAATGGTGTTATTTGTCTCTTTAAAGAAACATGGGAAATCAAAATGATTAAAGCCAAAGACCGATAACTGAGAGTTGCCTATTAAAGAAAACCATTATTTCCAAAGCACAAGGAAACAAGGCTGCCAAACTAGTGCGGATATGGAAGTCTGATCTTTAATAGCTAAGTTTTCCTCTCTAGGTTATGAAGGCTCTCTCTATTTATGACATTCTATCACTAAGTAGGCCTTTGGCTGAAGGAAATGTGAAAATTCCCAGGAATTTTATACCTAGTGGAAGATGGGGCTGAGTTCACTCAAGCAAAGATATAACTGAACCAAACAGGTGAATCTTGATGTGAATCTCAGGAAATAAGGGGGACTGGTATGGTTAACTGCAAAAGTCTTAATGGATAACAAGTGTCAAGAATGGTGTACTGTTGTAGCAAGAGGCATTGCTATCATCTCTCCAAGTTGTAGGTGTGTACTTTTGTGCTCTTCTCTAAAAGAATCATTAGAAACCAACCATTCCTCAGTTGGTATGAAAAAAATGTTCAAATGGCTATGGAGGTAAGTTCAATTTACAATATTCAGCTTTTATGTAAATATTCTTCACATTACTTACAATTAAATGACCTACAATTATCATATAGATCCCAAGTGGTGACAAGAATGATTACAGGATAAACTCACTATGTAACTACTATCACAAGATAGAATAATACAGCAATCTTAAACCAGAAACACATTCCCTATGAACCACTTAAGTCCTCTACTAAGATTAAGTGCTGGATGTAATTTCTCTAAAAATTTCTAGCTCAATTTCTGAAAATTTTTTTCTTTCAAATTTCTATTCTCTGAAAAGGCATTTTCTCTGCTAAGTTATCCTGAGGTGGCCCTTATAAAGCAGATGGAGAAATTTTCTGGAATGATTACAATGTCTACACAATAATTCTTTTCCCCTTCTACATTTAGTACCCATGAAAACCATTCAAGAATGCAGTCTTAATGGCTTAAATAAATCACCATGCTGTGCTCTAAAATCAACACTATATTAATGCTTCCTATCCACCTTTACTAATGAGACACAGTTTCCTTACGCTTAGAAGCTAAGCCAGTTTAAGAAAATGACATGTTTATACCTATATTAATACTGATGGTCACGTTTAACAAGAAGAGGTAGGTACATTAGCCTGAACACCTTTGCTCAGCCAAAGAAAAGGTCAACTTTTAATTAACCGTGCCGGCCACATGAGGTCTCTGTCACTCCACTATATAAAGCTGCAAGTGCGACTAGGATGTATGTCTGCAAATAAAACCAATTTTCGTGAAGAATAGGAGCTGTAAATAGTTTCAGAGATCTGATTCGTTCCTGGAAGAAAGTAACCTATTTCATAGCAAAAAGAAATGGGACTGAGCTGAAAGGTACATACATTAATTTGGGGAAGAAAGTGATCACCACTTTTGGGAATACAGCAAAAGTGTTGCTAACTAATGCTTTTCCCTTAAATGGGATACAAAGCAGGTCTTTCAATATTGGAAGCACTAAACTAAGGAATCAGATTTTCCAAGTTGTAATTTACAGAAGTTAGGCACTCTGAATGTTATGTCTACAAAACAAACTGGCTTCCCTATTTGAATTACAACATGACAAGCATTCTTTTGGGGAAACAGACACATATTCCCTTAGGCAGGTATACCTGCAGGTTTCAAATCAGGCTTCATGTACATAATGAAGACCTACACATCTTCCTGAGATTATTAGGCATTATTAAACCCCTAAGCACAGATACAAAAAATATCACCTTTTGATGACATCTAAGCAATGTCCCTTTCCCTGACAGTCTCATATTTTACAATTTACTTTAATTCCACCACTTCATTGAAAGAAAATCATGTAAAAATTACATAAGAAAAGAAAAAGAATAAAACCCAAATATAATTCAGTAAAAGATGAAGCTAAGAAAAATGCATTTTCCCCCCATTAAAAGTGCTAAGGAAAAAGCTGCAAAAAGAAAAAAAGGTCACTAAGGATGGGGACTCAGTTTCCCCAACAACAGGACCCATAAGGAGTTGATGACTTCTATGATAAAGGACCACAGCAATGTGAATGTAAGCAATGGAGGGTAGCAGAATTTCATTTGGATATACATCTAAAGTGCCATAATTCAACATTACCTCAAGTGAAACAAGTCAATTCCCATTAGGAACTCTACAGATTAAGCACCCAGTAGAAATAAAGCAACCATGAAGTTTAAATCCTTTTCTCCATCTGAAACAAGACTGAATGGGACATAATGAAATTAACTGGTTGCTGGCACAGCCCAAGTTCCATGTTTCTAAACGCCATGGAGTACAAAGAATTTTTATTAAACTTCTCAAATGTGTAAGTAAACTGCATTTACTCAACTGGAAAGCCAGTTGTTTTTGCAGACACAATTTGATGATGAACTGCACAATCACTTAGCAGAAAATCTATGTTACCATTAGGTTAATAAAATCTAAACTAATTTTTCCACAAACTAAGATGCATATCTAACTGCTTAATAAATCTCTGATTGCATTGGGATATTCAGAAAGTTTAAAAAAAAAAGGTTAAAAAATACAATCCTAGCAGTGAGAGAAAATGTACTGCTATTAGTTTTCAAGAGACGTAAAACCATGTGTTAAGGAAAGATTAAAGAAGGACCTTGAAATCTTACTCCTACATGAGACCTTTTGAAAGCACAGATGAGTTTTTTCTTTTCTTTATTGAGGTCCAATACTGCTACCCAGAGACATACTTAATTTCTGTAGGTTACTCTCACACTGAAGAGCTGTATCTCTTTTCTTTTATGTTGAACCTGTTTTAATCATGCATAGTAAGTCATATGCTGCATACATACTACCCAAAGATGAGCAGAAGGCCAAGTGCAGGCTTCTGACATTATGCTCCACTGACTCACTGCACCACATGTGAAAAACTGCATGAAAAAAATTAAAGTAGAAAAACCTACATGTCATTAAATGAAGTTATTTCTGCACCATTTCTTTTCTCCTATTTAAAAGATGGGTCTGGGTACTTAAGGAAATGACCGTAAACTGCACTCCACTGGACAATGACAGAAAGTGCCTTTTTTAAACTACTTTCCACAAACCAAACACACAGAAACAGGTATAAGGAGTTAAAGGGTGTGTGGCTCTGCCGGGCCAAATAAAAAGCCATGGAGAAGCAGGGCACACAGGTGCAGATAGAAGATGCTGCCCTGTGTGCTCCACAGGAGAGAGAGCAAGGCCTATTCTAAAGTCGTCCCAGAGGCCCTTGGACTCAATGACAGGCTCTATCCCCTCTGTTGGCTATTTCTCAAGTATCTAACTGGTTCAAACTTGACCTCCTTCTTCCCAGTTTAAGGCTCACATGAGCAGAAGCCAGATGTTTTCAACAGCATATACTACAAAAAACACTTGCATCTTAATACTGTACATAAAACTCAGGTGCCTAGGTCAAAGTTTCACTTTCTAGTTGAGAAGAGTATGAAGCTGAGCCCTCTGTTCTTTCTCATATTGTACAATGTAATTATAAGATTCAAGTCAACACGGATGCATACATTACCTTAACATATACCAAGTGACCTGCAGAATTACATAATTGCCACAAACAATGTCAGGAGGTAAAGCAAGTGACACAGCTGCTTACAAGGAGATGTGAGGAATAGGATGGAGGAGCAAAAGGGGGATGAGGACCAAAAACAACCCATTAAGACACACAAAACAGTCTCTCTGTTGCAGAAAAAAAAGTACTTAAGAGGTGCCTATCCCATATACCCTAACCATTCCCTCCCCAAGATAAAAAGGGAAAACTACCTGAATTTATTTTTTACATTCAATAACTCTTAAAAGTCCAAGGAAAAAAAATTAAATGGGAAAGAATACCAATTCCACTTTATTAGCCTAATTTAGGAAGAGGGTGAGAAAAGTGTGGTGAGCTGAGGGTATGAAGGAAGAGGGTCAAAACTTAAAACAGTGAGATCCCTTCAAAGATGTGATATAGTCCTCTATCACTGCAACCTGTCAGTCAACACAGTCAAAATCCCAAATACTGAACGTAGACTTCTTTTCTTCACAGGTGTGTGTCAAATGACTCTTCATTTATAGTGTGATGAGGTCGACCAGGTTTCCTTTCGGAGGGGTCATGCTGTCTGGAAAGAAATTTACTAAGATATCAAAGAGCTGAGTTCTTTGAGCGTAGGTATGATCCACATCCGAAAAGCCTAATGGGGAGAAACACAAAGAAAACACATCCAATCGATTTGAGAACTCATCCCACAACAGACAATGAAGCCAGCTCCAAACTCTCCTGGTCTGGTCTACTGAGGTCACTGGATGGTCCTACTTCTCAATTTTCATACAAATAGGGCTATACTGTCATGCTTGTTTCAGACATTCTAAAATTTCCTTAGGATGTTAACAAGAAGGCCTGTTGTGAAGTTGAAATGAAGTTTCAGGAAGAGAGGAAGGGCTAAAAACCAGCAGATTATCAGCCACAAACAGTTTTAGGAAGTTCTGAGAGTGAAAAGGTACTTGGCTAAAATGGTTCAGCTGAGATACTAAAAAATAAGTTCTCCAAAGTGAGCAACAATTTATCAAAAAGTTATTTCCCTTTGTCTTCCTCTATTTAATTCTCAGGTTTCATCACATCTTTGAGTAACCAAAAGATACTCAATCCTTTTGGAAAACCTAATCTGTTGATTCCCCTGGCCTGAAATGGGTTATCTGAGTTAAGGTATAAATATATTTATCATTATTTAGAGATAGGACCATAAGAGTCATATAAACCATAGTCTTTAGTGTAGGCAGTTTCAAATCAATCAATTTTCATTCAACTTGGGAAGGGCCAGACTCAGAAGTACAATCTTGAGTTCACTCTGTTCTATCTCACAAAACACAGAAGCAGAACATAACTTCGCAAGGATAATGGCTTCCTGCTGGAAAATAACCATTACAGCAAGGTAAGTACATTCAATTTTAAGTAAGAAGATACTGATCCAGTCCCTGTGTTCTAGTACAACGACAGATCCATGATAGCAATGATCTGTGAGGAACTAATTACTCAACGATGGATGTAAGTGAGGTTTATGGTACTCTGACCATCCTAAAATTGACTTACGAGGTTTGTAATTTTGATCTACGTGGTTTACCTTTAGCTCTTTTGTAACATAAAGGACTAATGCCAGGAAATCTCATTTTCCTCCCCAGATGGCACAATAGTTATTGCATCTTTACTTCCTGCATTCAATACTAAATCTATGGACAAGAAATTTACCAAGGAAAGCATGAGGCTTAGGTTTTAGTTCGGTGTTAATAGTAAAAAAAAAAAAAATGTAGCCTAGAGCACAGTATTATCATCTGTGAAATTTATAAAGGTTTCCTTTAAGATTTAGTACGCTTTTGCCAAAATGCACTGTGCCCCTTCCATAAGTAACAAAGAGAGACACAGAGAGATAATATATGCTTCATCAAGTTATGCACTTACGAAGCATGAGATACTGTTCACCCTTTATTAAATATCATAGGATTTCGGGATGGTGAACTTTTCAAGGGAAGGGTGAAGACTAGGTAATACAATATGAACTACAGACTTTGATTTTTCCTATTCGTCACATGCCTTGCAAAAAAAAAAAATCTGCTAACTCCCACCAATGGTCTGCACAGCAGGACACAGATCTCAACAAAGGGTTGAGCCTAATCTTAAAAATGAGAGGCTCACTAGTTATTTAACTGTTCCCCAAAGAAGCTCACTTTTGAAAAAGTATGATGACCCATGTCCATAAACCACTTTTCTAATCTTTAATCTTTATAAATTTTACACGGGACACTGGAAATTATCTAAATATTATTTAATCCCCCCAAAGAGCGTGTATAAATTGGATTTATACTTGACCAAGAGGAGTCACATTCATCTTTAAAAAAAAAAAACAAAAACCAGGGATTTGGTTGAGGTCGGCAGTTTGAGAGTGGAATAAGGGAGATACCAGTCAACAAAATATAAAGGTAATGATGAATAACATTTGGTTTTAATTTTGAGTTTCTGATAGCAAAAAAAAAAAATCACCTAATATAAATGGAGTAATCCTAGAATCTTATGAGGAGAAAAGAAACACTTCATTTTTTGAGTGTTAACTATTTGGGGGTGATGCAGGGAGGAGAATGAGAGAAAGAGAGAAAAGAGAAGGGTTATTGTATCAAATGTTTACTTATAGTAAAGCTGGCATAAAATCTCATTTCTTGGGTTCTCATACTGGATTTCTTCATGCTTTTCATTCAAATTCACCAGTGAGACATTCAAAAAGAAATGACTAAGTTTTCAAACAAGGCAGAGGAAAAAATGTTAAGAAATCTTCTCTTGTACTTTTTCTGCTAAGCATTGACAGCATCTGTTTCATCAGTTGCTGTGGCCAACCTTCATATTTAGCTAGTTTGGTTCTTGGACAATAGACACAGAGTTACCAGATCAATTTATGAAGTTCTTATAGGGTTACCTTGGTGCTACAGTGAGACATCAGAGTAGTACGATGAAAATGTGAGACAACACATAGACAGTTAGAGTGCTATAATAATAATTATCATCATCATTATCACTAGCAATTATATAGCACTTTGAGTTTTGTAAGACATTTTATAAACATTATCTAATTTAATCCTCACAAAAATCCTGGGAAATTGATGGTATTATCATCTATACTTTACAGATGAAGATACTTGCCCAGGGTGGGTCCCAAAGCTAGATATTATCTGAGGCCGGATTCAAATTCAGTTCTCTTAACATGAGGCCCTGATGTCTATCCACTGAACCACCAGCCGATACCCCTGAGAGCAGAAGAACAAGATGACCTTCAGAATACTAGGTAGATCCTTTCTGGAGTACTCCGGGAAAATTGCCCAGTCTGAGAAGGCACTTAGCTCTGCATCAAGACAGGGACTACTCACAGCAATGAAGACCCCCCCCAAAGTACTGGCAGTGAATTTGGCTATGCCTGGGTCACCAAGAGGAACAGGAGGTATGACTGCGATAAAATAGATGCTTTAGTGCCATAAAATAAATTATCCACAGCAGTGAAAATCAATTTGCTTGAGGCAAAGTTCCTGGTTCCTGTTAAAATCATTTGCTACTACCACCCTATATCCAGTTATCATCTGGAAATTGTTATTATTACCCTGGAGGCTCTAATAAACCAAGAGGAGATATTTTAGCACAGGCCATCTCCAATACAATAAAAATTAAGGCACTGGGTTGTGCACTTCAGGTTGTTTTGCTTTACCACAACTAGGCACCAAGGTGCTCCATTTCTATTAAAAAACATGCAGAGGGCACTTCTTAAACAATGGGACTGAATGGGCTCTCATACAGCACTGAGCTGAAAAGTCTTTGGGACTTTCCAAAGTGATGGGGGAATCACCACCACTCTACTATCATATTTCTTAAGAACTCACCAGGGCCATACTTTGCAGAGGCAGGTATCAGACATTCCTGCAGCATATTACTTGAAATGAAGCTAAGGGCACATGGCTAGGGCTTTCTAGGTACTAGGGGAGGTTCCAAGCGTTGGTTCTACAACAGCCATTCACTACCTTTTCTCTCTCTCTATCCCACTAAAAACAGTGGAATGAAGAAAACAGTAAAATGTAATCAAAATTGTTTCAATAGAATGACGTGAGAAAAAAATAATGACATTTAACTGATGCCCCAAACTGTCATTTGCAATAGGAATTCCAAAAAAAAGGTCGCTGTAAAATCATTTAACCGTAAGTTTACTTCTATTGTAAAATCAATTCTATCGATCAAATATTTGCCAAATGCTAAGAGTAAATATTTCCTTAACAACAATGGGACAAGAGTTAAATTATTTTGTGAATATATTTTATATTAGTAGAAGAAAGTTGTGGTATCAAGAGATTTATGGTTAAAACTCAGAACAGTAAGGTAATAATTCATGCATTTTCCTAACAATAAAAATAGTAAAAATTCTTAAGCTATGTAAGGTATGAGATATAGAATAACTATTAATATAAATAACAACAATAACAGCTAACATTTTTAAAATACTGTATGTCAGGCACCGTGCTAAACACTTTGGAATTATCACATTTGATCCTCACGACCACGTTGGGAGGCAGTGCTATTAGTATTCCCCAATATATAGATGAGGAAACCAAGGCAAACAAAGGTAAAGTGACGTGCCCGGCGTCACAAAGCTACTAAGAATCTGAGGCTAGACTGGAAATCAGGTATTCCTGCCTCTAGGCGCAGCGTTCTATCCTCTGTGCCACTTAGGTGCCCCCAGAATTTGTCTGATTTACAGCTTACAATATTCCAAACAATTAATGTTTTGGTGTTAGAAATCATTAAAATCATATTAAGATAAACTCTGTCAGTGAAACAATGGAGGCCTCAAAACTTACAAAACAGAGCTCTGAAAAAGATAATTCCAAATACTCTTAAACTTTAGCTGGGCTTGATCCTGAAGAATCAGTCTCCATTTCTGTCCTATATACGTTCTTTGCTACCTTCAATTCCACTGCCCACAGAGTTCTGTAACCATCTGCACACTTATCACAGTAAATGTATTAGCAATACTGCCGCTGGATTCCAAAGCAACGTGATACAAATTACTTTGTTTTGACCAAGCTTCTGTTGCCTTCTGTTTGCATAATAGCACAGCATCTGGTGTAACAGGAGCTGCAAACTGATCCGTGGAGACCCAGATCTTAAGAACACTGGTGACTGACACTTGGAAAATAAACTTAAAGCAAGAAAGCCACAGGGACCAGACATATTGCCTTGAAATTGTGTGTATTCCACACCCAAAGATAGTAAAAAGAGAAATGCCATTTGTTTGATAGATTAACGTCTAACCTCAAAGACAATAACCTCAAAGACAATGCATTTGAAAGATACCCAAATGCAGCCTCCCCAAACAGTATGACACACTGAACAGATGAGTTACACCTGAAGATATACGTACCTAGTGCTGTGAAATCTGAGCCAGACTTGAACAAAGCTGAAGCTAGGAGCTGAAACTAGAAAGAGGAAAAAATTAGAGTCAAGTGTAAAAGCTCACTCATGTGTGTAACCTTGATAACTCTGAGCCTATGTGTACAGTTTTGATCAGTTTTATCACCAGAGGGTAGAAGGAAAAGTAGCACATATGCTTATTTTATTGCTGGACCACTTTTCATCTGAACATACAGAGCAGTTTATTTTCTCTTAAAAATCAATAGTATATAAATGTGTTCAAATGCAGCATATACCTTTGGATTCCAATAAATATTAATTTTATTAGATCAATATGCATTAATTCTTACTTTCTCCATAGTCTTACTCTAAATCTAACTATGTTAACAGTTGCACAAATAACACAGTTTTAGAAGAAGGAATAATTATCATCTATAGGAAGATAATGAACTAACAAATAGATTGCATATTCCAGAAATTTGTTTGTAAATTGGTGGTTGTGCCCCCAGATCAGTCCAGCAACTTTCTCAGCTCCTATTGAAGCTATCAAATATTTTATATTCATTACAAATCTTACAGGCAATGAAAAATTGTAGAAAACAAGACTTCCAGAATACCAGCAATTAAGCAAAACTGAACATAAGAAAAAACTTTTCAATTTACTTTGAAAGTTGGTATTTGAAGAAAAGGTATAACTGGAGGGTGAGTTAACATAGTTTTTCACTCTAGACACTAGGTGTCATTAGACTAAGGCAGTTAAAATTGCTGGAGGTGAAAATGAGAAATAAACAGACAAGATAGTGAGCAACTCATCTCAGTTGTTTGGATGTATGTAATGCTTACAAGCCAAGGCCTTGTAACTCAGGGTCTATTTATACATTTGGCAAGGACCTGATCAAAAATGAGGTCACATAAATTTTGATGATAGCTATAAAAATGATTATTAAAGATCAGGTAACAAAATAATTATTAAATAAAATTACAGAAATGTGAAATTTATGTAATTCACTATGCATATGAAGTAATTATTAAAAACCATGCCAAAGCCATACTCCTTTTTCTTTTCTATGGGTCCATTTGTAATTCCCAGTAAGCTTGCCTCACCAGAAACCTATAATGAACCATGAAAAAAAGCACTTCACTGTGAAATGAGCTGGTCACTGGCTAAAAGCAAAGAAGAAAAAGAACTAATGAGACACAGCATTGGCAAAGAACTCCCAGGTATTCTCAGGCTCCTGCCTGACCATCAACTGGCCCTGCACCCTGTCCTAAGGTTGATATCCCACTTAATGGAACTGTTTCTACTGTTCAGAACTCACCTCCAAGCTTAACATCACGTGTAATGGGGCTTGTCTTGGTTTTAAGCCATATCATTTAGTCCTACTGTTTTCTAAAGCTTCATTTATAAATACAGAAAAATGTTCATAAACTGTCTTGTTCTTTGAACTCTTACCAGTTACAGATTTAGCACCCTCTGTCTCTTCTAGGATTTATGACCCTCAAATTCTTTTATTATTTTGGTTGCTCTTCCCCCTTGCATATCAACACATTTTCCCTTCGTCCATGTCTCTTTTTAACCCTGAGAAACTCTGAAAACCATAGCACTCAAGGTGTCAGAAGTGCCTCTCCCCTCCCTGGATATGTTCCCCTCTATTTATAACTAATGACCAAACTGAGTTTTTCCCTCATCAAAGGCAATATTCTTTTATTTCTGGTTTCTGTCCTAAACCCTCCAACAATAAAAACATCACCTCACACCACCATCATGCCAACTTAAGCAAGCAATTAAATATTCTCTTTCAATTCATTGTTTTAATAAAACATAAATACTTTTCAAAACTACTAAATTATATGAAGAACATAGGGGAAAAACTACTGAATAGCCTAATTAAGTGGGAACTATGAACTTGGGACATTACCAGCTAATAGATGACATTATGGAAATGAATGAGACTAGATAATGTAGGATATTTTGGGAGTGCAGAAGAAATATTACTTATTTGGAATACTGAATTCCTATGTCAGTTGCAAACATGAAATTAATTTTCAATATGTAGTAGCTTCTATTCCTTACCAATTATAGATCCCCTCCCTCTGTAAAGTATAGATAAACACTATCAATGATCTAGAAATCCCTTCTAGGGGTTTGTTCTGGAGAAATTCTTATGGGATTAAGAGTTCAATCCTATCTAATCAAGAGTTCAGATTCCACAGACAGCAAGAGGATAACAAATCACTTTAAGTACACAATAGTAAGTGGTTGGCAGTCAGGAGCAGGATTAATGATAAATCCTAGAACTGGAAGGGATCTCAGAGATCACCTAAACCAATTTATAATTTTTAGGTGAGGAAACTGAGACTCAGAGAGATGAGATGAAGATGGAAGAAAACTATACAATAAACTAATATGGCAGTGGAAATTCCATTCCATATATGTGAAAACATATATACAAAACAAAATGTAACTCCAGCAAAGAGGAATAAAACAGTGAAAATCAAGGCAAAGAAAAGTACAGCCAGGGCAGCTAGGTGGCACAGTGAATAGAGCTCTAGCCTTGGAGCCAGGAGGCCCTGAGTTCAAATCCAGCCCCAGACACTTAACACTTACTAGCTGTGTGTGACCCTGGGCAAGTCATTTAACCCTGATCACCTACCCAAAAAAAAAAAGTATAGCCAATTATCTTGGTTGCAGCTGGTTTCTGATATACTAGTTGAACAACTTATCGAACAAGAGATCTAAAATGCTTTGCTAACAATTCAGAAGATGATTATCTCCAGACTTTTACACATAGATTTCTGGCCCAACAATCATAAATTTTAATTTTTTTCACATACTTAAAGAAAACAAGAAATGAATGGGAGTGTAGTTTTATAGACCACTAGAAGGGTTAAAAATATTTAACGTAATGGGCTCTTTGCTTAAGAAAGATTACCATCCAGGTTCTAGATGACACTGTTCAGGTTCTCTGTTGTCAATCAAAAACGGGAAAAATCAAGGCACAGATAAAAAGCAGTTTTGTCTTAATTTGAGGTAGTACCCTGTTCTGATTCTTATTATCAACCACTTGCATCATTTGAGCCAAACAAGTGCCTTAAGAACAAGCTGTCTATTTTCCTTGGCCTACTTGTAGCTCACACAGCTGAAATGATTTATTTGCAACGTTACTGCGGTTTTTGGTTTTAGTTTTTTTTTTTGGTTGTTGTTGTTTTATTTTTTAAGAAAGAAAAAAAGTTAATACTGTTTTCAGGGTTATGAATTTTTTCTCTACAGAATATCTGCCTGAAGAAAATACAGAGACCTATTTATAAACCTCAATCTGTGATTTATAAAATGGACCCTCCACAATAAAAAGACAGGCAGAAGACACAATAGGGATGAGACTGAATGGCTTTGCCATTGGGCATAACCATGAAAATCTTTCCTTTTTCCCACATATTCTGAGTCGTCTGGAGGCTCAAGGGGAAAATAAGACAATTATCTATTCCTTTTTAGATGAGTTCTAAATGGAATCATGCTGGGCAATCCCATAGCACAGGGATTTAACCAAAAGGGAGTTCTTGTTTTCACAGGACACAGCCATGAGATAGTTTCATTTGTTTTGATGCGAGGGTACCTGCGGACCCTTGTTTGCCATCACAATGAACCTGGTGCCTGGAAGTGATTCATCATTAAATCTGAAACCCATGTCAGTACAGAGCACAGCAAAGTACCATGTGATGATGACATCCAGGTACCAGAAAAGGAGCCGAGTGACAGCTAGGAGGAATGAATGCCAGGGACAAAACTGCATTCAGCCAGTACCAGTTCTGTGAGTGGCAGACAGAAAGACTTTGAATTACAGCCCAGACATTGCAGGATGAGTTAATGCCTTAGTGTCTTCAGAATCAGAAAGGACAGCAGAAGGGTGACAGCAGAATTCTAAAAGCTGAAGAAGAGGTTACAATGCAACTATATTAACATCAGTCAAAGCTAAACATGATCTATCAGCCAGTCAGGCAAAATAATCTTGAAGAATTTTGCCCTTTATGTTTGTTTCCACCTAACACCTTCTATAAAAGAGAACTGACAAAATGAGAGAGAAAATGAAAAAAGACTTCTCATAGGTCAGTTAGATTCAATAATAAATGAAACTTGTATTCAAAACGCAGTGTTATATTACAGCAAACTTGGTAACTGCTACTCAGGCTGCAATGACTATTGAGATTCCTCCTCTTTCTCAGAACTTGAAACTACCAAAAAGTGGAACCCTTCATTTGAGGGATTTTGGAGTAGAAATAGAAACAAGAGCACATATTAAACTACTTAGCAATTCCTTAAATAAATGAAAAAAATAAAAATTTTGAGGTTTCCTTTCTTCTATCTGCATGCAAAAAGTTTCTCAAAGTAAAACTTTACACTCAGAAAGACTTTCTGTGAGGATCAAATCTTTGCTTTGTAACTTGCACTTACAAAGTTATATGAAAATATTTTTATTTAATGAAATTCTCTCCTATATGCAATTTGAGATTTAGTGACACCACATTTTCCTTCCATCTTTCTTTAAAATCACATTCCTGACTGAGTAACCTATAAATTAAAGAAAAAAAGTAATGTAAAATCTATAGTTAATGTAAGGTCTGAAGATGTATTCTTTCTCTGTTTTTCTAAAGATCTTGTAGAGTATACTGGATTCTCAGCTTGGGACACAAACTAAATACCTAATAACTTATATATTGACACAGTGGCCATCCAAAAATATTAACTTCTGGATTTCTTCTCTAATTTGTATCAATTATACTCCATTATAGGATGAAAATAAGATTAACCATGCCTTTTTGGGTTTATCTACAAGAATTCCAAAAGTTGCCAACCAGAAAGAAACAGGTATATTAGTAAACCAGCAGAACTATTGTTAATATTCTTCACAAAAAAGACAAACAGAAATATTATAACACAAAGCAATGTTGTTTTACTTTTCCCCAAGAGTCATCCGAGTATTTCAGACACAGCATGCAACTGGAAATAATTTGTTATTCTGTTTGCTAGGCTCAATTTTTTTCCTCTACTAAGCATAAGGAAAAATAGATGAATCTGGTCCTATCAACATTTCACCACTTAACCTCCAAGATTTGTACAGTCCTTAGAAAAACATACCAGAAAACTGTACTATTGTATTACAGTGTCAGCTGTAAGAATACAGACTTTTTTTTTTAAAGGCAATTGGGGTTAAGTGACTTGCCCAGGGTCACACAGCTAGTACGTGTCAAGCATTTTGGGCTGAGGCTAGATTTGAACTCAGGTCCTCCTGACTTCAGGGCCGGTGCTCTATCCGCTGCGTCACCTAGCTGCCCCCAAGAATACAGACTTTTAATGCTTTTATAAAGTGGTCTATGATGTCTCATTTTGCTTAAGGTGAAAAGACGTGCCGTTTCACAAGCAAAGTTCTGAATTATCTACAGAGCTTTACCTGATTAGGGGGAAAGTAATGAGCATTTGTAAATATATGTGCCTGGCACTGGGCTAAACACTTACTGAATATTACCTCATTTGATTCTTACAACAACCTGGAGAAGTAGAGACTTTTATTATCCTCATTTTACAGCTGAGGAAACTGAGACACAGAGAGGTTAAGTGATTTGCCAAGGTTCACACAGCTAATAAGTGTCTAAAAAGAATTTGAACTCAAATCTTCCTGACTTGAGGCCCAGCACTCTATCCACTGTACTACCTAACTGCCTCAAATTAGACTGGAGAAATGTTTGAAAACCACTATAACTCCTTTTGGTTTTTTTTTTCCATAGTAGAGAGATGTAACTACTTTGGAGAGAGACTGCCCAAGCCTATTCCGGGATCTTGAAGATGGGAGTTATTCACCTGCGACAAAAGGTGAAGCAAGAAAAAATGAGATGGTAACATTGGAACACATCAAAAGCAGGCTCAACAGAAGCTAACTTGATGAAAAGAAAGCAGTGAAAACAGATTTTTAAGCCTCTGAGTAGAAACTAACAAAACATGCAAAGACAGAGGCAGTAGGGAAAGAAGGGAGCAAAAAGCAACAATGAAGAAAGTAAAGTTTTTCTACAGACATTTAAGCATTGAACAATTGAAAAAGTAGTACAGAGGAGCTAGAGGAGGAGGAGGAACCCCAGAGAAAGGCAGAGATGGTGAGCTGTAACTGTTTCAAGGCAGCCTCAAGCACACAGTTTCTTTAACTTGGCATGGTCCATTTTGTAATGTGTTCACAGCCTACTTCTTTTCATGTAAATAGAACAAATTTATTGAAACAACAAAAACAAAACCATAGAATAGCAAGTTAGAACCATTATAAGTAATAACAATTTCTGGAGTTAGTGGTATTGTCAACTCTTAGTCATCCAAGCTAATAGATAGGAATTATGGCACAGAGGGCACAAAAATAATGAATAATGCTACCCTGTCAAATAATTTATATTTAGTCTTGGAATGCATTTATGATTTCTGGAGAACCAGATTTATAGTCCTATGTTCTACTTAGCCTGTATTAAAATAAGTTACCATTTTCTCCAAATACACCAAATAACAGTTTTGGGGTGAGAGTGGAGGAAGTCAGCCCAGAGGTATGCTGAATAGTAGATGAAAACTGACCAAGGATAAGATAGTCCCCAAAATGGACAATTCACAGAAAAGACAACTGAAAACTAATTATATTTCAAACATAATTTTCTGAGGTTTGTTCCTCACCTCTTTTGTTTCCTCTGGGTCTGAATGATCCACAGTTACATAAAGGTCATTCTGCAAATATTTCAGAGCACTAAGAGGATCAGTTTGGGCTTTTTCTTCAAACCTAGAAAATGATAACCAAACAAAAATGATAATTGGATATGGTTAGTGATATAGGAGATGTTCTTCAACTACAGAGAGAGTAGGGGACAATGGAGAAGGACGTAAGTACTAAGCAATGAATTTGGTTTGCTCACAAACTTCTGGTACGGGAGTCCAGAAGGAGCCAAAAGGGTGGTACAGCTGTAGTGTTCCAAGGGAAGCAGTAGTTGTCTAGATGGCTTAAGGCCACAGTGCTGGTGACATTAAACCTAGGTTACTTTTCAAATCTGCTAATGACTGAGTGGGAACATTCCTTATGAAGTTAAGTCAAGTTTACCTGTCTGATAATACCATTAGGTAGGTTATGAAACAACTAAAAAACTTCAAGCACTAAATATTATACACAATAGCTGGAGGATAAAACATGGAAGAAACATTCTTCAAGAGATAAGTAAAAACTGTCTCCTATGGTGTATTTACTCAGTCTGAACCCATGTTTTTTTTTTTTCCCACCCAGGAACTCCTACCATGGAAATTCCCTACACCCATAAAGCTTTAGCAACTAGTTTATAATTTAGGGTCTTAGTTGCCTTGGGCACTGAAAAATTAGGTGATTTGGCCATGGTCTCACAGATCAATTCACAGCTCCAGCAGCAGTACCCCCTTTCTCACAGCTCCTTCAACATATACCCTTATTTGTCTTTTATCATCTTTGTCGATCTTAAGGGTTTTAGAAAAAAATCTCAGTTGTTTCAATGTGCACTTCTCTTATTATTAATAACCTGGAATATTTTTTCACATGGTTCTTGATAGTATCCATTTCTTCTTTAGAGAACTGTCTGATCCTTTTATCACCTACCTATTGGGTTAGGGTTAACTCTCATTCTTATACACTCATATCAATTTCCTATATCAGACATTTATCAACGATTCGCTATGGAGATTTTCTTCCAATCAACTCCTCTTCTCATTTTAGCTACATTGAATTTGTGCAAATACTTTTTAATTTTACATAATTTATCTTACAGATTCTATCTCTTATGATCATCTCTAGGTTTTATTTATTTAAGAATTATTCTATAGCCTTAATTATAAAAGGCAACTCCTTCCATTCTACAACTAATATTTTAAATAATGTGACCTTTTATATTTAAGTCTAGCATCTATTTGACAAACTATTTTACATGGTGTAAAATGTTAGTCTAAAATGAATTTCTACCAAACTACTTTCCAGTTTTCCCAGTAGGTCTTACTTAATAGGTAGTCTTTACCCTAATATTGTGTTTTGGGGTTTACTGAGTGTAGGCTACTATGTTTTATTACTTCTAGGTTTTACTAATCTAGCTTATTCCACTGATCAACTTTTCTGTTTTTCAATAAGCACTAACTAGTTTTGATGATAACTTTTATGATAAAGTTTGTAAAATTCTCAATTTAGTTGAAAGGAATAAAACTGGGGAAAAACATCATTGATGTTATCATATAAAAGGGTGACAGAAAAAATATCTATAACAACTAACACATCTCTACAAGACTTTTATGATCAATAATCATATTTATGCTTAAGATACCAATAAAATTATTTTAAAATAAGTTGATGAGTAATATTTTAAAATAAAATTTTATTGATATCTTTTGTTTTCACATAACCTACATTTCCCAATATATTCCTCCCATTCTCTCCCTCTGAGAGCCGTATTTTATTTAAAAAAAATTAAAAGAGAAAAACAAGTTTAGCAAAACTAGCCAACACATCAAAAAGGCCTAATAATATTTACTGCTGTCTATAACCATAGTCAACTACCTCTTCAAAGGTGGAAGAGAGGTGCCTTCTCATATCTCTTCTCTGAAATTAAGCTTGGAGGTTATATTTTCACAGTATTTCATTTCTTCTTTTGAAAATAAATTTTCATTGTTGTCTTTGGTTTACATACCATCTATAATTCTCACTCTATTACTCTCCCAACCCCACCCCCAGAGAGTCATCAACTGTAACAAAGAATGACAAAAGAGGAAGAAAAAAGTTCAACACTATCCAACACATCAAACAAGCAGGGGCCCCACCTCTGCAAAGAGGGGCTGGGAGGGGAAGTGTCTTCTTCTAGGGGACTAAGCCTGGCCATCAGAGTTCTGAAGGATTCCATTTCCATCATTTTGCTGTTGCTGTTTCTTTCCACTTACATTGTTGTAGTCACTGGTTAGAGAGTTTTCCTGGTTCTCCTTACTTTACCTTGTATCAGTTCACATAAATTTTTCCATGTTTCTCTATATTCATCATATTCATTGCTTCTTATAGCATAGTAACATTCCACTATATTTGCATATCACATTTGTTTAGTTGTTCCCCAGTCAACAGGCATCTACGTAGTTTCTAGTTCTTTGCAACAACAAAAAATATTTTGTTCAGTATGGAGACTTTCTTTTTTTTGCATTGATGTTCTTGGGGAATATGCCTAGCAGTAGAATCTCTGAGTCAAAGGGTATGGACATTTTAGTCACTTTCTTCAAAAGACCCCAAACTGCTTTCCAGAATGGCTGGCTGGATCAATTCAGAGTTCCACCAACAACGCATTAGCATGCCAGTCTTTTTACAGTATCTTCAACACTGATTATTCTCCTCTTTTGTCACCTTTGCCAATTTGCTAGGTGTGAGGTGAAACCTCAAGAGTTGTTCTGATTTGCATTTTTCTTATTATTAGTAATTTGGAGCATTCTTTAATATATTCATTAATAGTTTGCAATTCCTTTCAGAACTGTTTGTTCATATCCTTTGACCATTCTCTTGGGATCTTGTCAACTATTAAAAAAAACAAGCATTTGACTTGGTAAAGCAAAATTCTCTGGACAGTCTCTCCTCCAATCCACAAAGGAACTCTCATGCACATGTCAAAATCATGTAAGATTACTTGAAAAATATAACAGATATACCTTTGTTCAATAACCATCTGGTTACATGTGAAGTATAAAACAAGGAGACATATACTTACAAAAGGTATTGTCACCATCAAGGAGAATGTTCAGTGCAGAGTCCAAACTGAAGAGTGATTTCCCATAGATGAAGAAGTCCTCCAAATGCTCCTGTTTATGGATGACATTGTGCTGATTGCATCAAGCCCCAGAACAGTGCAGAGCAAAGATCCACAATCAACTGAGAGAGTTCAGCCTAACTATCCACATGGCAAAAATCAAGTGGACAAAGAATGCCTAACATCCAGACTATGATATGCAGTTGAATGGGCAACCTAACCAGTCCATCTATTGGCACATATATCAGGACAGGAGCTGTGGATGGACAATGGACTGTGCCCAGAATTTTAAAAAAGCATGCTGCACTCACTGCCTTCGGAAAAATGGATGTTTTTTTTTTTTTAAAAGACCCCACGCTTCTACCTGAAATACAGTTCCATCTTTTTTAACATTAATATTCTTCCAGTGATGCTGCATAGCTCTGAATCATGGAATATCATAGTCCCTGAAGAATTATAGTTGCGGGTCACTGAGAGGTCAATGGAAACACATCCTGGGCCTAAACAGGCTGCAACATATCACCAACAAAGCATTATGCAAGAGAAGTAGCTTTAAGGATATAATCAGAGAAATGTATATCTGGAAAAAGAGACCAGCTGGACATGCAGTGAGAGTGACAGATGGACAGCCTGTGTTGCTGGTATCCATTGGTATCCACATAAAGTTAAGAGAACTTGAGGAAGGCCCTCAACAAGGAGAGTGGCCCTTCAGTTGCGGATTTCTAGGAAGACACAGGCAAAAGTCACACAGTATGAGAGGGTATGGCCGAGTCAAGATCTTCACTGTTGAAGGAAGTACTCAAACTGATGCGATCACAAATCCACTGAAGTACCAAAGTATTGAATACAACGGGCCAATTTAAAAATACTGTCAAACAAACTTCTGTTCAGGATGCCTTCAAAATTCCAGATTCAAGCTCTTCAGTCCATTAATTGCTTTATTGGGGGAAAAGTGGTCCTATGGATTCCAACTGTTTCTACTTGATACTGCAAACAACCCTGTGATGTTTTGGCTTAGGTAAATAACCAATATGGTGGTCATACTTTTAAAAATTCATTTTTGTGTTTTTCATTGCGAACTCAAACCAGCAGTGGTCAATGTGCTTTTTAAAAAAGTTTGTATGACTTGCACTTCTGGGTCAGTCTACAAGTCACTTCAAGGATCTTTGAATACCACATTTTTAGAACTACTGAAGTTGAAAACAGGTTATCATTCCTACCTTACATCTATAAGAGAGGTTAAGCAGAGTGAACAACAACAATAATAGCTGACACATGTATGACATGTAGGCCAGCTACTATCACTTTTATTGACAGGATACACACAGCTTTAATGTTTACAAAGTATTTTACATATATTATCTCACTCTATCTATACAACAAACCTCTGAGGTATTTTAGGTGTTATCCCTATTTTACATATTTAAAAAAAAAACTAACTAAAAATCTGCACATTATCAAAGAACTATTAATGCCAGGAATGAGTTTAATTCCATTTTTCTCTTGACTACTTTCCCCCCCAAGATGTTAGAATGTTATTCTCTTTTCCCCCTAATAAGACTATAAATAGGAAGGCAGGGGCTCCATTTCACACAAACTTTACTTCCCCATTAATACATAATGGGTGTCATAAAAGCTTTAGGATAGTTTTAAGCTTTAAGAGTTTTTAAAAGTTATGTCTTTATACTTATCAAATGATTACTTCTTTGAAGATAATGGCTTTATCTTCTTTTTTTAGTTCTCAGATTCATAAGATGAAATAGAAATAATATATTCCTCTCATGTCGTTCAACTCAACTCAATATTTTTCATATATTTTCCATGTATTTTTCCATATATTTTAAAAGGTTTCTATTTTCCATTATTTTATCATTTGAATTTCATTTTTCTGTTTTTGTATAAAGTAAGTACATATAAGCATAACTATGTTATCTTTGTGATAGAACAAATAGCAGAAAATGGAAAGTGTAGATGAACCAATGAAAATTTAGTAGGAAGGTAAAGCTTTTGTGGGTTCACAGATATAAGGAAAATACCTACAAGGTTAAACTATAAAGTGAAAGTCTTATGTATTTTATTACAAATTCCTATAAAAGTCTAATGTAGTGCTCGCAGAAAAAAGAAAGATACATGTATAAAATTAGCCAGCTGATAATATCTGATGATATTACCTGATAATTTGTACAGTTGTGCTATGTTTTATATAAACTGGGGAAAAAAAATCACCATGTATAAAGCTATGAAAGGCTATGAAAGTGAGGCCTGGCTATTGACTCTCAACTAATAATAACAGCTAGGATTCATATAGATCTTTAAGGCTTGCAAAGCACTTTACCTATGTTATTTCATTTTATCCTCACAACAACCCTGTAAGTGGTGTTTTTATCTCCATTTTACAGATGAGGAAACTAAGATTAGAAGAAGTTAACAGACTTGTCCAGGGTCACACAGCTATTAAGCAGGATTGTGAAGCAGGATTTGAATTTAGGTCAAGAAGTGGAGTTAAACCTAATGTTAAATCTAAGTTTAGAAAGTAGGCCACCTAAAACACTGTAGCTTGGAAAGGAGGTTTAACAAAACATAAGCTATAAGTCCATCACTGAGGGCCGGTCTAATTCTTATTGGTTTAACAAATTTTCTAAAACCAATCAATCAATAAGCTCCTATTCAGCAACTACTATGTTCCAGGCACTGTGTTAGGTACCAAGGATACAAAAACAAAGAATGAAACAACTTCTACTCCCAAGGAGCTTACACTCTAACATTCTATAAGTCTTTACCAAGTAAAGAGAAGGCACGTTGAGGGTGAAGGCATGAGCAGCTGGGGACAGCGAGGGGTGTTTCTGTTGAGCTCTGAAGAAAGCCAGAAATCCCAAAAGGTGGAATGGAGGAAAGAGCACAGAATATGTACAGTTCAAGAATACGAGATGACAGCCTGCACTAAGGTCAACCTGACTCGACTGCAGAGTGCATAAGGAGGGGAAAGATAAGAAAAAGTTGTGGAAATGTAATGCAGAGTATGTGGAAAGTTGGTCTGGAGCCAGGTCATGAAGGACTTTAAATGCCAGCTAACAGGGAATAGAAGACAGAGATCAGAGGCAAGGAAACCAATTAGCAGGATATATCACCATAGTTACGGTGGACATGATGAGAGACTGAAGTACAGTGATGACCATGTGAATGAAAGGAAAAGGAGGAATCAAAGATGACCCTGAAGCTGCCAATCTGGATGACTAGAAAGATGGTGGTGCCCTGGAAAGAACAAGAAAGGAAAGAAGGCAGGTGGGTTTGAGGAGAAAGAAAGTGAGTTCTGTTCTGTATGTGTTGAATTTAAGATGCATTGTGTATATGAGATTACATCTTAGAAAATTTCTTTTTCTAGTACCTTTAAGTTACTGGGTTCATGTGAACTAGTCACTTTTTCTCTAGTTAGGAACTTTGGAAATAATGTTTTAAATCTTAATTTCAAGGTGAGAGCAAAGGAAAATAAACAAAACCTATCACTAATCACAGTACAGTTACACTGTAAGGTTATTAGATTTTTCCAATAGACTATGTCTCCAAATGGCTTTTAGTTGGTATGGTAGCTTCAACAGCTGATGTTTTAGTGGGGAAAAAAAACTGTCAGACTATTGCTTTTATACCTGTGTTTCCTTATGAGATATTTACAATGCCTCAACAAGTATTCCTTTGAAGGACGGCAGAGTTTCAGTGACCAGAAGTCATCTAATCTCATCTTTGGAGAACAGGATTTGCCAGGGTTTCCACCAAACAAATAATGAACCTATAACAGAACAAACAAATGAGATTTTAAAATTGCTTGCATACTCAAGTGTCCATAACTCATAGTAAAGTTAGGAACTGAAGTTTGAAAAAAGTGAACACCAGAGAATTTCCTTACATCAGTGATAAAAATCTATAAACATGCTAATATTTTTTGCACAAAATAATTCCGTTTTCCTTAGTTTGCTTTGTGTAACAGTCCCATTTCTACACCTCTCAAAGTCTCCATTTAGCTTCCATGTGTTGTTGGCAGCAATATAACCTTGTTAAGAGATGTTTAAGAGACAAACAGAAAAGAAAAATGAGACAATGAAGTAGTTTACAATATAATTGGAAATAAGCTGAGAATTCATTTTTAAGATATCTATGCAACAAAAGCAGTGCATGGCAATGTAGAACATAAGTGTTTACAGGATGTCCATCAAGCTCTCAGATCACCCAATGTTGTTGTGACTATCTAATATAATAATAGAGAGAACCATAGTAATAAAGGAAGAGCCCTTTCTCACAAGAAAGCTTACAATGCAGCTAAATAAATATACAGAATATAAAATATAACAGAGAATAAAAGCAGTATTCGTACATGAAAATAATTATTTCTGCCTCAGCATATTATATTTATAATTTTGGAAGCTGCTACCAGATGAAAAGTGGTTCTATTTCCAAACTATCCCTCGAAGGTATTTATGAGGGAAGTAGTTTTTGGGAGAAGAGGCCTGCCATTCCCACCAAGACCAACTACCAGCATGGGCAGGTAAGCCAAGAGCCCCACAAATAGCAGTAACTCTCCCAGATCTTCCTAACAGGTCCCTATGGCCATCACTTAAGGAAGCAACCCTTTTGGAGAATGGGACCACTTTTTTCATCACCACCAACATGAACTGCCCTAGCTAATGTAGGAAGGAAAGACAGATGGAAGCCTATACCACGCAGGTCACTTTGATCATTACTTCCCCTTAGACCCTGGTGGCGATAGACCAGGACCCCGGACTTGGAAACAAAGACAGATTTGCTCTCAGGTCCTTGAATTACCTCCTCCTCTGTGACCTCAAGGAAGTGACTTAGCTTAGCTGAGCTTCAGTTTTCTCATCTATGAAATGGAAACAATAATACCTGTGCTACTTCACTAAGTAAGCCTCAAGTTTTAATGAGTATGTGTAAAGTGCTTCATAAACCGTAAAGCACTATAGGAAATGTTATCTCCCTCATAGAATGTAAACTTTTGTGGGCAGGAATTGTTTCATTTTTGTCTTTGTACTCCCAGTACAAATTAATTAAATACCAGGGGTGCCTGGCAGACAGCAGGCATTTACTTAATTATTTTTGGCTGATTCGTAACTTAGCAGATTAAGTCACAGAGGGCTCCTGGTGTTTACAGCCTGCAGGCGCAGCACACTTGAGGATTTCATCTACATACAAAGGATGTTTTCCTTTACATTTTTCGTAGGCACCACAGGTTGTAAAGGCCTGAACTACAGGATGCTGTCTCTCTTTTTCTATTACCATAATAAAAAATAAATAATAAAATAAGACCAGAGTCCTTTCTCACAAGAAAGCTTATAATACAGCTAAAAAAGTACATAGACTATAAAACAGACCAGACTATAAACAGCATATGTAAAATCACTAAGGGAATATGAAGAGCAAAGGAGTTATTACATGAAGTTGAGTTAGCCTAGGAAGGCTTCCTATAGGAGGCCTCTCAAATTATGTCTTAGAAAGCGATGGGCTTTCATGTCAGCACCTCACACCAGCTTCCAGCTCTGTTTATATGAACCAGCATTTTTGAAACAGGTTCTAAAACATGTTAGGCTTCAATAAGAGCTGGCAAGAAGAGTCAAAGACAATTTTCATACAAGATCATGAAACTGCAATTTTTAAATCGTTAAAACCATTTTATTTTAATTATTTTCTTACAAAATTACCTCTTATTCTACGAAACCATATGGCTGTCCATACTTAGTCCCGCACAAACATCAATTTCTTTCAAGTAGGTGAAAACTGAACTTCTTTCGCCCTCACACTGCATTCTGAGCCAAATTTCTACACACATCCAAAAAATAGTTCCCTTAACTTGGGACAAAACACATATTTTTCGCATCTTTCCATGGAAATGTTCTTTTAAAGCAAGAGAATAAAATCTGTGGCAAAAAACTAACATTAAAATTTATAACAGAATCTAGTATGAGAATCATGTCAGTAAAATACGTAGAAAAACCACACCTTCCCAAATATAAGAATCTGAGGGGTAAAAATCTCTTAACTCTAAACATGACTTCATAAGAGAGGCTTATTAAAGGGCACCTGTAGATGGCAAAGGATAAGTAGTTGAACTTGTACTAAAGGAAGAAACTTTAGAACTCGCTGTTGAAAAACTGCTATCGATAATATTAATAATTTGCATTCCTGGGGCAGCTAGGTGGCGCAGTGGATAGAGCACCGGCCCTGAAGTCAGGAGGACCTGAGTTCAAATCCAGCCTCAGACCAAACACTCGACACTTACTAGCTGTGTGACCCTGGGCAAGTCACTTAACCCCAATTGCCTTAAAAAAAAAAAATAACAATTTGCATTCCAATCCAATCCAGGAGCATTTATTAAGTGTCAATTATGTACAAGTTGCTAGGCCAGGTACTGTATATATAAAACAAACAAAAAAAAACCTCTTCACTGTCTCTGCCTTCTAGTTTTCTATTTTCCTGAGAATCCTACTGAATTTACATTAATATGCAAATTACATGGGTAATTTACCTTTCCTTCAGTGCTTTACAGTTTATGAAGCACTTTACACATACTCATTAAAACCTGAGGCTTACTTAGTGAAGTAGCACAGGTATTATTGTTTCCATTTCATAGATGAGAAAACTGAAGCTCAGCTAAGCTAAGTCACTTCCTTGAGGTCATAGAGGAGGAGGTAACTCAAGGACCTGAGAGCAAGTCTGTCTGTTTCTAAGTCCGGTGGCTCTATTTTCTACTGTGCTGTTTCTCCTGATCGATGACGTTAAAGGCAAAAAACAATGTTAAAGGTGATTCTGAAACAAAATGATGGGTATGGGATTTTTTAGAAGAACAAAATAAAATATCAACACTTATTTCTAAACCATTTATATTTGTCTTCAGAATGCACATTCTAAGATTATTTTTTACGTATTATGTTTGGCTGGAGTAGGGAAGAAGTAGTTTCAGAACCATGAAGACCTGGATTCCAGTCGTGACTGATTTAGACTGGCTGTTCAATTGTGGGCAAGTCATTTTACTTCTTAGAGCTCAAAGTGAGAAGAAGTAACTAAGTTTGTCATGATCTGAGCTCTGTCCAGTCAAAAGTTGCAGAATAGCTGCAGATCTGCTTGACAGTTTCCTCAGCAGGAATTCTCTACAGTAATGAAATTACACATCTGAATCACCCACCCTCCCTCCAAAACAGCATTAATAATTGAATTTATGTCTTAGGAGGAAATACTAAAAGTGGACAAAGTGATCTGATAGTATGTTGTAGGGACCATGCTTCCAGGGAGTCAAACTAAGATTCAAAAGCTGACTGCAATAGTGAAAATATTTCTCATTTCTAATTCACTGAAATCCTAAACTGATGTCCTAGCAAAGTAGGGCTCTTGGATAGTTAGTATCAAACTCATACAGAACTGGGTCCTGGAAGGCCACTCACTGACTTAGAACATCACAAACTGATATCGACTCTGTTGTACTGAATTATTTATCTGGGTAAATATTTCCCAATTAAATTTTAATCTGATTTGCCCCATCAGTTTGACACCTCTGTTCTAGAGGGATAAATCTGCTGAGTGTAAGCTTTGCTGGATCCTACCAAGCTGAAAAAGACCAATGACAGAATGTTCATCTATTATCTGAGGGTTAGCCAACCTAATAATAATTATTAATATGTTTTGAGGTTTATGAAATACTTTCTTCACAACAAACCTGAGGCAGATATTTTAAAGATAAAGAAATGGGATTCAGAGAGGTTAAGTGAGTTAGAATCAGTCTTTCAGAACTGGAAGAGACTGGTGAGGTCTCTCAGCCTAATTCCTTCACTGTGCAGCTGAAGAAGCCAAAGTCCAGGCAGGTGAAGTGACTTCCTTACAGTAACACAACCAGCAAGCCCTAGACAGCCAGGGCAGGACCACCAGCTCCTGTGCTCCTAAAGCTCATCAACACAAGGCGGACTACAAGGTGATGAATTTCTGGGCCACAACTACTCATGAAAACCACTGTGAAAAGGCTATGATCTGTCAGTGAAGTGAGTATACAAGCTAATGGAATTGTAGATTTGTAAAGTATTGTTTGTAACCATATTTAATCATCCTGGGAATACAGCTCAAAACTGGTACACAACTTGATTAAGCAAGTTAATTTTAGGATTCTTGGAGGGGCTTTATAGTAATCATATTGTCTGTCAGACGTAATGACAAAATAAACAACACACTTGTGGAAAAAAAATTTTAATGTTATGCTATTATGTGGATAAGACCAAATAAAAATAAATTTGTTTAAAAGGAATGCCAATAATTATATATTACAATAAAAAGAATCGAGGAGTTATTTATTATAGTACTGATGGCATGCTACACTTAATACAGGCTTTTCATTTATACAGAAGCCTTCCCTGAAATTCTAAAAATATTAATTAGTTTTCAATGACATTATGAAATAGCAGCTCCTTGTAGAAGAAAAATTATTTACTTTCAACTCAAGACTAAGAGAAAGAGCTCTTACTGAAATCCAATGTTGTCCTTTCACTTGTAGACGTCAGATCATGGCCCATTTATTCACTTCTTCTCCAACTAAGAGCAACAATAGTGGCTCTGTAAAATACAAACCACTAAACTAGAGCTAATGGCTTTGGTAAGTCAAAAGAGATCTTTTCAAACACTTGAGCACTTTTAGATGCCAGAAGCTATAAATCACCCTTACCTTCGCTATTGTTACTGGCCTGATCGAAGGGAGCAAATGACTCATTCCAACCAGCAGAAGTATAAAAATGATTCCTTGGATGAAAATGAGAACTTAAATGGTTTATTTCCAGACAGAGGGGCATTCACACCATACAGTTATGGAAAAAGAAAAAAACTACAACTTTTACCTGTTTTTGTATGGCTGGTAAAAAGCCTACCCTTATGATGTGTCATCTATCAGCTGTGAGCAGCTGACAGGCAAACAGTTAACAACCACTAAGAAAAAGATGTCCTAGACTGATGGCACTGATTAAATCCTAAAAAGTTCAGGGAGAAAAAATATCAAATGCCTAATATGCTATTTATATTTTTCTCAAATAAGTTTTATACAACTGATAGGAAACCAATGGCCAGAATTCTTTGGGGAGGCCACCTTAGTTGGTATGCCATAGATATTTTACATGTAGACTGAACAACAGTACCTTGTGTAATTCATCATACACAAGTTGGTGGGCGAATCTTGGGCATGGTTCCTCCTCCTGTAGACTTTTGCTTGGATTATCCTTCGCAGCTTGATCATTTTTATAGACACAAGACCTGCAATACAAATTGCCATTATGGTACTGCCTCAATCCTCAACAAGATTAGTAGCAAACAAAAGACAAATGGAATTAAAGCAAATAAATAAAATTGCATGTTTAATAAGGACTGGCAGATGGGAGATTCTATTTTTGTATGATCTTTTTATTTTAAAAATTTTATTGATATATTATTTTTTTATAACATCTTCATTTCCAAGTAGATCCCTGCTCAGTGGGACATCTCTTGTTACAAAATAAAAGAAAGAAGAAAAAAGCAGGTCAGCAAAACTAACAGATGAACCATGTGTGATGTAATAAGGAAATTTTTTAAAGAAAGGATTAGCTAACAGCAAATTCTGAGGTTCAGATCTTAATCAAAAAGGCAATCTTAAATTGCTCATTCAAACTGTTCCTGAAGCCCAAGGCTCCTTCAAGAATACTTACAGAGACAATGTAAGTAAGATCTTCCAAATAGAAACCAACGCCTAATATAACATCTTCTATACAGTAGGTGCTTAATAGTATGTATGCTAAATTGAAACACCTCATTTCCAGGGCTCATTTTCTAGGGCACTGAGAAAAAGTAGACACATCTTTGGAAAGGAAGGAAAAAAGAAATGAGAAAAAGAAAGAAAAGGAACTGTGTTTAACAGCAATAAAAGGCTTGCATTTAGGTTCCTTTGTTTTGTCCCTCAGCAAATAAATGTCCTATCTTGAAAGCAGTTACTTTCTTTGTTGCTGAGTCCCACCCTAAATAATAGTGAGGGAGTTCTTTGAAGAGTCTGTATCCATTGGAACATTTGTCCACAGATCAAAGAATGATCATAGGATTATTGAAGTTGACCACCTAGGTAAGCCCTCTCACTTCACACATGACGAAATTCAGAGAAATTAACCTGACAAAAGGCACATAGTTAGTTAGTAACAGAGTGAAAATAAGAACCCAGGTCTTCTTACTCCCAGCCCACTACTCTTTTTACAAAGTAAAAATCTTTCCAGCATGATCACTTATTTTCAAGTGTAAGACTTTTAGGTGTTACCCAGCAGGGATCTCATTTTATTTAATCTTTTTATCTCCCTACACATAGTACAAGGTTCTACAAATAGTAGACATTTAATAAATATTTTTTGAACTCTATTGTGTGTAAAGTAGTACAAAATAATTACTAGTCTTTTAATGTATTCCTCTATAAATTAACAGATCCTCCATTCTTCCCATTTTTCTAAGATTGGATAATGCCTATTACAAACAAAATCTGCCCTGGAATTTCAGCACACATAACTGTTTCTTACCAACTATTTCTCACAATGTCATAAATCCAGAAGGAGTTCCTGACATTCTCTTCCCTCTTCTCTTTGTCTTTGCTGAGTCCAGACAGAACGTGTATTTCATTCAGTTCTGGATCAATGGTTGCTCTTTGTGTAAAACCCGTCATTGGGACTATTAAATTGGGAAGAAAAAAATGATAAAAATTCACATTAGATAATGGCTACAACACAAAAAATTAATTCTAAGAAGATAAACATACTTGTTTCTTGGCTTAGTGGGGAAAGGGAAAGAAAAAATTGGGTGAAGGAAAGATTTGGATCACTTTGGGGGGGGGGGGACGAGGCAAATGGGATTAAGTAACTTGCCCAATATCACACAGCTAGTGTCAAGTGTCTGAGGCTGGATTTGAACTCAAGTCTTCCTGACTCCAGGGCCAGTGCTCTATCCACTACACCACCTAGCTGCCCCATTTGGATCACTTTTGACAGATGGTGAATGTTCAAAAGTCCAATTTACAAGCTAAAAACAAGAATCCAAACCTGGACCTGAAAAAGCAAACCTTGATAAAATGTAGAGAGAGGGGCACACTCAAGTTCTTATAATTCATATAAATCCACTACGAACAGTTTCTCTCTTTTTTGGGTTTTTTTTCAAACTGGTTTGGATCTATGATTTCACTACTTTAGGGACCTCTCAGGGTGGAAAAAGTCCCCATTCTAACACAGTTATACAACCTTTCCTCAACTTATAGTCTTGTAGCCTTGGGCCATATATAATGTTTTAACAATAAAAGATTAAGTGACTTGTAGAGGGTCACAGAACTAGTAAGGTCTGAGGTGGGACCTGAACCAGTTCTTTTTGCACACACACACAAACATGGTGTGGGAATACATCCAAACTCAACAGAGAAGCAAGTGGGGAATGTGTCAAATGAACAAAGTAGGGCCGAACAATAGAATGGTACAGAAATATATCCATACTGGACAAGGACATGGAGGGTAGGGATAACAGGAAGGGAAGAAAATACTAAGGAGGGAATAGTTTAAAGCAAAACAAACTTCTTGATCCTAAAGAAGAAATCAGAAGAGGGAGGGAAGAAAGAACCACAATCTAAGGGGGCACCTTAGATTACCTCTTAGTTAAGGAATGGCTGAACAAACCCTGGTTTATAAATATAATGGGTTATTACCGAGCTGAAAGGAATGACAAAAGAGAGAATATCAGAATCCTGAGTAGTCTGAACTGACAAAAGAGTGAAATGAGCAGAACACTGAAAAACAACTTTGAAAGGCTTGCTAACTCCGATCAATACGATTGCCAATCATGTCTCCAGACGACCTCTGATGAAGCATGCTAACCATCTTCTGACAAGAAAAGACATAGGTAGATGATGCAGACATGTTTTTGGACATGGCCACTGTGTGGCTTTTTGTTTGATGATGCTTATTTGTTTCCAGGCTTTTTTTTTTTAAAGAGAGAACTGGTAACAGTGACGCCCAAAAAAAAAAATAAAAAAAAAAGATGGCTATTGAAACATATTTTAAAATGTGCAAAAAAGCAAAGGAAGCACAGCCAAGTAGGAGCTTTAAAAGTAACATACAGAATTTATTACATAGACGCACACAGACACATACGAATTGCATGAAATGGACATTCATAGTGTCATATAGAATCCTTTTTTAGAGTGTTCTGCTGTGTGTATAGAAATGTCCTTTTCTGAGGTGTTTAAATTAAGGGGGAAATTTTTATTTCATCCAACCTTTGCCATGGATTTTAAAATGCCAATGTTTTAACAAAATGCTTCTAGACAGAACAAGAATTAAGCTCTCAAAAAACTTAAAGCACCAAGTTGGAATAAATATTTAAATCAATACAGAACAGTACAGCTAGATAAGGTAGCCAATATTGAATTCAAGTCTTATTCACTCAGTACTCTAATGCCAAAAATTCTATTATTTGTATTTTTTAAGCTTAGCTTAAACTTACAAATAGCATTTGAATTCCTATTCCAGAAAATCCATAATAATACTAACTCACAAGGACTATGTCTAAAGTATTTTAGTAGAGAACTAAGTATAGCCAGGACAAACACATTAAATATATACACTCAACTCTCAGTCTTCAAAACTTCCATTCTTAATGCCATATCCTTAAGTGGTTCTGTAAGGTATGTGTTCTTTTCTTTCCTCAAACTTAATATTAAATATCACTAAAACTAATTAAGCCTGCTTTATGACTTTTTTTTTTACACTTAAGTTAGTTTCAAAGCACTAAATATCGTAATTTTTAGTCCTTCCTTCTTTTCATTTTTGCTCACATTTCTTTTTGTATGGTCATAATTTATATGTACTCTATTCCTCTAGTTCTGCCTTCCTGTGTACCCCTCATTCTTATAATTTCGTAAGAGTTTTTATATACTTCTCTATATTCTTTTAACCTGATGATCTTCTAGGATTTCCCCAAAAAAACCCCCACCAATTCAACTATGAAAATTTTTGTATTTGACAATTTTTTGGATATATTCCCAGCACTGGAATTATATGATCAAAAGGGTGAATTAGTTCTGTTACTTTTACTGCACATTGCTAGAGTGTTCTCTAAAAAATTCAACAAGTTCGCATTTCCATCAGTAATGAATGAGTGCACTTGTTTTTACACAACATTACCAGCATTACATTTTGTTGCTTTTAATTGGTTTTTTTTTTTTTTTTGCTAAATCTATGGGTGAGGTGGTACCTCAAAATTTAAAAGGTGGAACATTTTTACTAAATTGTTAATATCTACTAACCATTTATAAATCAAAGACTGGGGGTAACTTTTATAAATTTTGAATATCTCTTCACAATATTTTTAGATGTCAAGTTTTTTTTAAATTAAATTTTATTTTATTTTAGAAAGGCAGCATAGTATAATGAAAATGGAGCAAACTGGAGCAAGGAAGACATGATTTCAAACCCTTCCTCTGACAGAGGTTGAATATATGGCTCTAGACACGTAAGTCACATAACCCCTTCAGAGTTATGAATACCTCCCTAAGATTTTAAGTTATAGAGAATATGACAATCTGAACTGGTAGAAAGAACTACCTCACCAGGAAATTCCTGGATATCAAGTTTTTATCTGTTACAGAAGTCATAAATATTTTTCTTGATTTTTAAAATTTTTTTTCCCCAAAACATTTTATTTTTAGGTAGTCAAGCACTTTAAGTACTGTAATTTCTTCCATCTTTTAAACATTTTTGATCAATAAAAAATTTACTGATGTCTTTTTAAAAAATTATTTTTAAAAATACTACACTTTTCCTACCCTCCATACCTGAATGAAACCTTCTTCTGTAATAAAGAAAAACCATTAAACAAATTAAGCAATCCAATAGTGTTCATGTTTGACAATGTATTCAACATTCCACCTTAGAAGCTCCTCATTATTTTATTGTGAGGAAAGAGGTTTATGTCACTATTTGTTCTCAAGGACTTTCTTTAGTTTCTCAATTAATGAGACTCTGGCTTCCTTTAGTGATTTTTTAAGATTTACATTTTTGTAGTCATTGTATATACTGTTCACATATTCCTGCTTATTTTACTCTGCGTTAGTTCATACAAATCTTGTCATTTACATTTGAATTCCTCATATTTGTCATTTTAATGGGATGATACTTTATTATATTTACATACCACAGTTTTTTCATATAAAAGATGGGTATTTTGTTAATAGTCTTTTGCTATCAGTAAGAGTATGCCTATTTTGGTATAAGTTGAACCTTTGTTTTTAATCTCCTTAGGATATATGAGTAGTTAATGGGAAAAGTGGGTTAAAGAGATATGAAAAATTTAGCCCTTTTTAACACAATACTGCAAATTGTTATCTCAGATCAACTCTCAACTCCAAAAGTAACATATCAGTATGCCAAAGATCTTCCCAAAAATCTATCAACATTAAATATTTTTGTCTTTTATATCATCTTTGACAAGCTATAGAAGTGAGGCAAAACATTTCTGTCTTACTATTAATGACGTGGACCATGTTTTCAAAAGGTCTTTTATAGTTTGTAAGAATCTTAAAATCTGTTTTTTCATGTCCTTTGACCACTTAATTAGTGGAAACGGCTGTTGGCCTTCATATACTTTTGTCAACTGCCTACACATCTTGGCTCTCAGACTTTTGTCAGTGTTCTTTAGTATAAATATTTTTTTTTCCTATCTCAATAGTTTCTTTTTTCCTATCTTTTTTTTTTTTTCCCCAGTCAAAGACAAGGTTTATTAACGATCCACCAAAGTGGCCAGACTCTTAAGGAACCTAAACATTTGTGACGCTCACATTGACAAATGGACTAGAGTAAGTCTCAGCACCCTAACTGCGGCCAAGATGGATCTTACATATAGAAAGACTGTGGGAGGGATCTAAGAGTGGACAAGTAGTTTGGGGTGCCTGGAGGAGGGGTCTGGGCTGAGTATCTTGATGGGAGTGGCCAGTAGGCTGGGGTGACTGGAGGAGGGATCTAGAGAGGATCTTGATGGGAGTGACTGGAAGGCAGAATGTAGCCTAGATAGGAACAAGGGCAGGAAGTGGCCTGAAGTCATCCAGAGGTAACAGACAATACAGGGCTGAGTTAGGTTAAGGGTAACAGAGAATTGAGAAATTGGGCTTAGGCAATAAGGAAAGGCCAATTGATAGGACTATAGTTTCAGAGGAATGCTAGAGACTTTCTTGATCAAGTGGGGAGTTCAAGGAGAGTCCGAGGTGGGGTTTTCTAGGGCCCACAGACAAATGGGCTTGGGCCCATACCCCATCATTCCCCCTCAAACAAATGAGACCCAATTTCTTTTGGGGTGAGGGGTAAAGGTCTCGACTTCTGAAATTGCTTCCTGCTGGCAAGGGGAGTAGAGCTGTCCCTGCCTCTCTGGGTCCCGTTCAAGGGGTAAGACTTTAGAAGCTGGCTGATGCCAGGTCCAGTGGACTAGAGACCTTGGACTCAGTAGGAGGTTGATAATAGCCTGAGCAGTCATCTGGAAGTTGATGGTTTTTGTCCACCTATTTGCTGGAGGGGGCTGGGGCCTTTCTAAACAGTAGCCTGAGATCCTCCAAGGACTCACAGGTATATTCGGAGTCTCTTTCAGTCTTGACTGCAGAAGAGCAAGGTTAGACAGTTTCCCCATACAGGCCACCAAAA